AAGGTATCATGCAATGTGCTTGAAGGTGAGGGCAGCTGAGTTCTACGTCGGGCTGCCCACAGTGGTTTCAAAGAGGCAACATTTGAACTGGGTCTTCAAAAATAAATAGAAATTTGTTCAACAAGCACCTTGGGCAAAGGAAACAAGTGCACACAAGTGGAAAGGTGACCATACGGGATGGCAGCCAGTGAGACTGGAGCACAAATGGAGATGGAAAGAGAGAGAGTGTGTGTGTGTGTGTTTGGAGGACATAAAATGGACCATTCCAACCAAGGAGTTTATACTTTCTAAAAAAAAGGGAAACTACCAGAAGAGTAAATGATCGCTATCCATGGGTTAGAAAGAGCCCTCTTGTGGCACTACACAAGGTGTTTGGGAGGGAGAGAACCGGCGCAAGGATCACCGTTGGGAAGGTTAGGGGAACGTAAATGAGGTGGCAGTCACAACGAGAAAGGGACAGCATCACAAATTCAGGCTGGAGTTGGCCATCCTCAGAGATCATTATTTTTTTCAAAATTTTAAAATCACAATCCACAACAAGAAATACATTTTAACATCGTAACCTAGTGTGTATGCTTACATACACATTCCATGTGTCCATGAATACATGTGTAGAAATATATATAAATACACACACACACACACACACTAACGCACATCCACTCCCCAAACTTCACTAAACAGTAAGCGCTACAGGCCCAAGGCATCGCCATGCTCGTCACCCAACAAGGGGACAGGAAAGCAAGCAGGGGTGCTCTAGAACACCACCAGATCTGTCCCCCATGGACCTTTCCTTTGCAAGGAGGAATTCTGCAATCCACTATTGATTTCAAGGCTGTTGTTGACCTGAGGCACTTAATGTTCTCTGTTACTTAAGTAATGATTTATCTCTTGATGTGACTGGCTGTCCTTTTGTAATCTCCCTGGTTGATTACACTGAGTGGTTTAATTAGGTATTCATGAGCATATATCACAGCCAAGCTTTTAGCAAAGCACCTTATCTGTGCTACTGATTTCTGCATGATATTTCTGGAGTCAATCTGTTGCTACTCTTAAAATTAAATGAAACAGGCTGCTGTATCCAACTGTTATTTTGCTTTATAGATGATTCTGTTAAATGTCTGAAGCCTGGAACATAGATTTTTAAAAAACACGAAGACGTGATGTCAGTGTTGGGGTTGATGACCCTGCCCCGCAGAGCTGGAGTGCCTGGCCTGCTCCTTGCAACATCGCAGGCAAAGGGAACGTGGAAGCTTTTAGCACTGAACAGGTATGCGTATAGGTTCTGTCCTGCCATCTCCACCCGGAGTTTCCTGGGAAACTCGATTACAAAGCACCTTCACGTATATTATTTTAATAGCTAACATTTATTGGGCATTTAGTAATGTGCCAGGCACTGTGCTAAGCACTTGATCTGCATTATCTCAGAGTCTTCAAACGAGACCTATAAATGCTATTCGTTTTACGGGACATAAAACTGATGCTTAGAAAAATCAAAGAACCTTGCCCAGGGCTACAAAGACACAAAGGGTTGAGCCATGTTTCAAACTTAGGTTTGTCTGTCTTCCGAAGCCAAACTCCAAACCACTAAGTTATACTTCATCTGTTGCTCTGAATACATTTTTCTGAGGCTTAGCAATGCCAGTTGATTTACTTGACTCTCAGTGAATGAGCGGTAATACTGAGACTTGAACCTAAGCCATCGAAGTTAAGTCACTGTTCCTCCACACCCCCCACTGCCCCGTCATTTCATACCCCTGCCACGGCCATGGTCAGCAGGCAGACAAAAACACAAAAGGGAGAAAAACAAGCAAGAAAAAGCTACTTGAGGTCACAGGTAGAGGGTAAAGCTGCTCCCTCACTCTCTCCCACTTTAGCATTTAAAGTCAGAAAGAAAACAGAGGAAAGAATGCACATTTAGACGTAGCAGGGGGAAAATGAAACTAAATATTACTTTAGCCTAATCTAAGGCAGCTGTATAATCTCTATGGTAGGAGGCAGGGAAACAGTCCAAATGACAGAAAAGAGGTAGTATGTGGATTAAACAAGAACATGTGTTTAAATGTTTAAAGACCATATCTTAACATGTGAAAGCCAGTAATAAAAATGAAAACATGTGAAATAAAGTTAATATACTTCAGAATATACTGTCTTTCATAAGAGGCTGGAGTAAAGAAACATACAAAGAGAAGTGTTTAGTACTGGGAAGTTCTAGCATGCAATCCCTCCCTCAACGAGGGAGGAAACTCCACCGACTAACCTGCCATAGTTATAAAAATGCACATTTATGTAAGACAGATTTTACAATACAATCATGCATACATCTGAAAAATAGATCAATGACTTAAATCAATGGCTTTTAAACACTCATTAAAAATCCTTCTCTAAAAACAATTAGGAATAGCAGAACCTAATAAAGTCTAGTATGAACACTAAAAATTATTAACATCCAAAAACAAGTTTTTGAAAGCTATTTGTGATAAAGCAATTTATCCCAATCTTCTCTTCCTCAAAAAGCTATTATTTCTGTTCTAACACTGGTCATATACTTGTTCTTGAATCTTTGCTTCTTTCTCTGGCAATCTACTCAAGAATTTACATAATTATTATGCTTTATGGAGCAGTAAATTCAATATAATGTTTTTTTTAAAAATCTCTTAACTTATCTTTCAACAAATATTTGTAAATGGCATTTGAAAGTAAGGTTGGTTTTTTTTAATTCAAACACTGCCACAGACCAGAGTTCTATTATTCTAAGAGACGGTTTACATGGAGCAGTTCTTCAAAAGTAAAATTCATTATGGTGAGTGTGCCCGGTGAAACCAGAAATCCACTCATGCCAACTGGGTACATTCTAAATACACGGACCTTTGGAAGTTATTTTTATGAACCCTTTCAAATTTCCTATCAATACCATGCATGGCTGCACTTCCGATGTGCCCACAATTTGACACAATATAGGTCATTATGCTTAATAACTTTCGATTACGCAGGGTGACTGCATAGTCTAAAGAAATGAGAAAGCTACCAGTGTAAAAAAACTTCCAAAAGGAAGGGGAAATGATATAATATGAAAAATCTTTAAGAGTACAAATACAGGAAATGTTTTGTTTTTTCAAACATAAGAATTATAGAGCTGGACGGTCACCATGAAAACCTGGTACACAAAAGTCAGAATGCTGTCTGTCAGCCTATAGAAAACATAAAAAATGTCATGAGTGTTTCGCAGATAGGTCAAGGAGAGTTATCAATCAATGGACTACATTTCCACAGCGGTTTGCGAGCAAGTCTGGGGCACTCGGGCAACACCTCCCAGCTGGCAAGATTGAAGGCACTGAAGACAACCCCAGTAGTTCACGCACCACCTCCTGACACCTCTGTCGGAAGCAGAACGTGGGGCATCATGGAAGAAAGGCACAATGAGCAACACCAATGTTCTCACATCAAACCGCCAGCAGAACAGAAGAGATAAACCCCGCACGTTTTATCCCATACGTGGACATAAACCTACGCGGCTGACAGAAGAGGAAAGGAGGGCATCTAACGCCCTGCCTTAATGCTACAGATGACTACAGACACGTGAGGGTCTCCAGAGTCGCTGAGGCTTCGTAGGTGGTTTAAGACAACCCAGAGTCAGCCTCATACAATGAGGGCATTGTTCTTCCTCTAAGGTCCCTGATGTACGGGTCTCTAAAACGACATACAAGTGTGCACTGTTCATTAAAACTATGCAAATAAAATCCAACATTCCTTACAGACACAAAAGCAACTTCACAGCTTCATTCCAGGAATGTCCTGGTGATGCGTGGTTTCCACCACAAAGCAGGGTGGGGCTGGGAGTGCTGGGGGACTACTGCGTCCACCAGGCTGGCCTTCCAGTTGCAGACCACCCCTCCTCCTCTCTTCTCCCTCCCCATCCAGGGCGGCTAGGAGGACATCTGCTTCGCTACTGAGCATTTCTTGCTATTTTATACAAAGCCTTCGGGCAATTTAGCCTGAGTCTGATGTATGTTTAGTCTTCGCAGAGGGGGTGCTCAAGGCCAATGATAACATGCAGGGCCTCTGTTTCACCTCCCAGAAAATACTTGTTGGGCGCAAAGGCAGACAGTGAGTCAAATTCCAATTTTCTTAATGTAACGAGGACTTTCCCTATTGCACAAGATACAATATGTTTCCAATGCAAAACATCTATTTCTGCACATCTGCCCAATAGCAGCTCAATTACAAACAGGCCCATCAAACTAACACAGGTCCTTCGCTGCTCAGACAGAGCCTGTCATGCTGCAGATAGCAGAGAAGCACTTAGCAGCAGCCACATGGCAATTTTCCAGTAAGACTTGTTAATCTTTATATAGTCATCCTCATGCAGCCATCAAAGTAAACTCAATGACAAATCAGTTAAAGTAAATTACTTTGAGGAACTTATAAGGATCGGGTAAAAAGCAAACCATATGTGACATCTCTTAGGTCCTGCCCGTGACGGCATATAATTGTCACCATCTGTGCTGTTTATTCTGTGTGCCGGGCCTATCCACCCCCCCCCCCAGGTCAACTCTTTGCCCTTCTCTGTCCTCTGTGGGCCCCGGGAGGCTGACCTCTGTGGACTACAGGACTGTGGCTGCATCAGCTACGACCTTGTGCTCTGGCTTCCAGCTGGGCCCGGCCACCAGGAGGCACCAGAAGAGCTCAGAGCTGGAGAAGAGAGATGTCAAACATTAGCCCTCCACCCTCCCCAGTGCTCCTGTGGGCAGGCAGCCCCCTCTGCATGTTCCAGCTCTGCTCTCGCTGCTCACTCCCCTACTCTTTTGGGCCCAGTTCAGCTGCTGCTAATCCCTGGGTGCTTCTCCAACCCTGGTTGGTCCCTGCAACCCTGCCCACATCCCTGTAAACAATCCCTCATTGCATGGTCTTCAGTCTAGGACAGCCTACACGCCTGTGGCTGGCCAGGACCCTGGCTGACACACAGTCAGCAGCCGGGGTGCCAAGCTGGGATCACTTACATGGACCGCGTGCACCAGGTCAGCTCCCAGGCACTGCTTCAGCTTCTCATCGCTGCTGGTCCCGTGGAGCACCAGATCGGGCATGTACGTGGGGCAGTAACCTGCCAGAAGGGAGCGGCCGAAGTTTCTTATGTTTGGGTTGCTGATGCTCTGAGACCTAAAACAGTATCGGTCTGTTAGAATACACAATTAAAAAAGACTCCCTTCTTGTGTTACAGTTGGAACAAAACCCCAGTGACACGGGTCAGATTCAGGGGGTCCACTTCACCAATCCTGCAGTTGGGGCATCATCGGTATGGAACGAGGGAGGGGACTGGCGGAGTAAAAGAAGACTGCTTGTTTTTTCCTAAAAAAACCAAGGCAGCAGGAAGAAAACAGTACAGCGTGTTTTCTGGTTGGTTACAAGTGTGTTCCTGCATCTCGCGTGGAACACCCACCAGGCAGGCTGTGTCAGGGGAGTGAGGAAAGAGAAAGTCTGGCTTCAGGAACTTGACACATCTGCACAGGGCGGCGCCCACGACAGGCTGCGGAGCAGAGGAAGTCTCTAATTAGTGCCTCAGTCATCACAGGCCAAACCGTCAGCCTGATGGGGTGTCGAGGGAGGGGCGGTGTTTCCCAGCCACTTCGCGCTGCTCAGACTGCGGGAGAGAAGCTGCCCACTGAGTGCAACCCACCTCCCCCGAAGCCGGGCATCTGCTCCCAGCAGCGTGGCTCCATCCAGATGACAGAAAATTAAACCCGCTGCTCCCACCAACACCTCCATAGTACCTCCTAGGTTCCCCCCAAATGTCACCGTCATCATCAAGGCACCCACTTGCCTCCTCACTGAGAGCTCAGGTGCCCTCAGCCAGTGGTCTCCTTAGAGAAAGGGTGGGCTGGAAACAGCATCAGTTTCATAACACTTCTACTACTTTAAGGGGAAAAAAAACCTGTTACATGTAAAACAACCAATAGCAGCTAACATGACCACAGCCACGTCTGACCCCAGGTCCCTGTGTCCCAGCTGGCCGGCATTACCTGGGCAGGGGCAGCTCCACTTCCAAGGCCCCTTCGGCGCAGTCACCGCTGTGGCCTACATGCAGCGTGGCTGAAGCACACGCTTCATCGTCACTGTCTCCGAGAGCACTGTCAGAGCTTTCGTTTCTGGGAATGTCTCCTTCAGTCCTGAAGTCGCCTGTCTCACTGGCGTCCCCACAGGGGACAGCTGCAGCAACGGAGACACCTGAGTCCTGCTGCACACACCTGCCAGGCTCTGGCAGAGGTCCCTCCTCATCCTTCGAGTACAAACTTCCGCCCGTCTCCAGCGTTTCCGGCGCAGTCCCCGCCGCACTGGCATCAGGTTCGCACGAGTCGGCAGCGGGGTTGGCCTGCCCCGCAGCATCTGCCACGGCTCTGGTTCTGACGCCTCCGTCCTCAGCATAACCACCGTCAACTTCACCTCCATCCCTGTCTGATGACTGATTCTGAGGACGGTGGACATTCTGTGGGAAGCCAGGCGGGAAGGAGCACCTAGAAACCTGCTGGTCCTGAGACACATCAGCGGCCACCCTGGGTTCAACCAAAGGACCACTGGCTGACTCCGAATATTGTCTGCAGGCCTTTAGCCGCTCCTCCACTCTTCCGGTGCGGCTTTCAAAGTCAGACTCCGGAGATGCGGAGCTTCCGATCTGGAAGGTGACCTTCTCTAAGGCAGGCTTCTCCCAGGAAAGTCTGTCTGGGCAGGGCCGGGCTGCTGACCGGTCTGGTAGCTTCTTACGCATCTCCCCTTTCCACTCCTCAGTGGTTTTCAATCCTCCCCCGAAACTGTCACAGCTGGAGAGCCTGGGACGGCCATCTCGCGGGACCTCATTTTCATTTTCTTCCTCCCTACAAAATGTGTCCTGAGGTTTCCAAGAGTTGTCCGGGGCTGGGTCCTGGTGTCCCGGGCTGCAGGCCGCAGAACACTTGTTTTTGTCCTTGTCAGCTTTGGGACACAGGTCTCTGATGTCATTGTCCTCTGGGGTCCCCGCCAAGCCCTCAGGCACGGGGCTCCTTCCTTCCTTGGCCAGTGGCAGGATGGGAGGAAGGAGGGCGGGCTCACTTCTCACCGTGACGACCACGTACTCAGACTCCTCCACCTCTCCCCTCTCCAAGGCTGTTGTGATGTTGCTCCCACTTAACACCTGCTCCCCTTCTCCGGGATTCCCACTCCAGGTCAGCTGGTTCTCTTGCAGCTCAGAGCAACGGAGAAAGTAGGTCAGGACGTAAAGTATGCGCTGGACCAAGTCCTTCTGCTTCCCCACCACCACGGTGCGTGTCAGCCTCACTGGAGAGCCGATGGCCCCATAGAGATCACCTGCAGAGCAAAGTGGACACAATGACAAAGTTGCCTGGGGTGAGCAGGCCTTGGATATGTCAGCTTTTACAAGAGAAAAACAGATGACTTAGAGTCCCAAATAGATGACTTAAGAGTGAGTGCCAATGAGAACTGCTTCTCCATATAAATGACTTGAGGTAAAGAGGTAATTCCTAGTAATGACCGGGTTTTAGTTTTGCCTCTCTGGTGGACGGTGTGTCTGGAAAGGCCTGGCGCGGCCTTGGCCCACCGCTCTTGGGGCCGGGCGACAGAGCCGATTCACACAGCCCCCGTGAAGTCTGCCCACACGGTTCAGCGGCTGGCCCCTCCCCCCCCACCTCCAGAAGGAAGGCTGAAGCCAGAGCCCTGAATGTGTGACCAAATCAAATACTGCATCATGGGGTCTAGAATAATGAGACTTTTTACAAGTCCTGGACAACAGAGCAGGCCTTGGGGTAAAATCCAAATTCAGGGGTCTCTGAACCAAAGGGCAGTGAATCAGTACAAAATACTTAATGAAATGCCCTGTTCAGAATTATCTCAATGTACAAACATGCACCAGCTACACTTTGATTAACAAGAAGAAAATTACTTAGTCGTGAACAATAAGATTCTGAATATACATGAATCTGAATACTTCTATTACTTCACATGAAAATTCTACTGGAATAATAATAAAAAAAAGATGTCCCGTAAGTTATATCCTGACAAGTTGATGAAAAACTGGCTAATGAACCATTAACATTTGGCTTAAAGGCAGAGGAAGGGCAAATGTGTCCATGACCCCAGCAGTGTGAGCTTTTCATCAGAAGTAGTGGTCAGGCACCTAACTGCTAAATCACCGCGTTTGGTAAGTTACTTAGTTGACACTCGGACAAGAACGGAAAGGACAATAAAAAGTGACATCTGCAGACCGCGCAGGTCCAGTGCCGAGCGGCTGACACAGATTTATCTCCTTCACGTCTCTGCAGAGCCAGCCCCGAGTTAGAAACTGTTACAGGAATCATCAAAACGTTGCAAATAAATCAAACTTGAAGAGACACTAAATAAAAAAAGAGGAGAAGCACAGTAATTGCTATATAAATAAGAAGTCAGAACCCGTCCGAGGAGTGCCGCAAGAGAGAGGAGGACAGGCATTAAAATGAGGGCATACAGCAGATGAAACAAATTAAACTGACAGATGCAGACAGAGGGAAAATTTCTGGGAACCATCAGGAAGTACTTCCTCTGGGGACACTTGGTGGAAGGCCACTGCCCCTAAGAACTTAGAGCACAGGGCAGAAATGACATTCGCCTTCTCTATAAAGACTAGCTGACAGGCTAACAGCTTCATCTGTTAGCTTTTGCCACTGACTGAGAAATCCCCCAAGAATTCAAGAGTGACCCAGAATTAGAGTCTGATGCTAGGACAAACACTGCTGTCTGAGAAGACGGTCTTGACTAAGCATGTGTCACTCACTGTTCCTCCCCTGGGATCACGTCGCCCATCACTGCAGGGTCACAGCCCCGTTGGGCATTCATGGGACCCTTGTTGTATCGGTCCCCATGTTAATACAGAAGATAAGCACTACCCATCCAAAATCCGGTATAGGAAAGCAGTCACAGAGGAAAAGCCACTCAGAATGACAATTCTTTTTTTCAATGCATATAACATTTTAATAACAAAACTGCAAGTGGAAAAAAGTAAAACAAAGACAGCTATTAAAAATAATTTACGATCATTTAAACTCTATAAAGTAATGAGAGCAATGTGTGTGGGCGCTGCCATCACTTGAGGACCAAACTCCATACAAATACTGTAATCCATGACTAAAACCACAGACCTGCACTACTGACGATTTACTGGATCTTGAACTCGAGCGCAGTGTTTGGAGCCCCGGGTGGAGGAAACCACTCACATTAGAGTAGATGCCATTGTTCCCCTAAGTATGATTTTGCAAAATGAAGGCAAGTTGCACAACCATGTGAATGGACTTAACGCTACTGAACTGTTATACTTAGAAATGGTTAAGATGATAAATGTTACGTTCTGTGCTTCTTTTTAAAGCATAATTTAAAATACAAACTCCAATTTAAGAGACAGAGAGACAATGCGAGAAGGACAGAAAAAAGGGAGGGGTGGGTGGAAAGAGTGTTTGCAGGTGACACAAAAGCCAAAGGCAGAGAGTGCACAGAAGCAGGGAGGGGTGGGGACAGGGGAACGAGAGAGACCAGGGAAAGGACCAACGGGGACACCGAGAGTGGACACAAGACGGGAGACAGCTGGCGGCGGTGGAGGAACTCAGAGAGAGGAACCACAGCAGTAAGAAGGGAGGAACAGACAGAGGGTACGAGGGGAACGGAAAAAAGAGACGGGGAGTGGACAGGAACCAAATGATGGGGAACCAGAGAGAAGCACAGAGGCTGGAACAGAGGGGAGGGACGCAGACAGGGCAAAGCACCTGCAGGAAACGAAAACGCCAAGGCAGAGGGGAAGAAACAAGGCATCACGGGAAACTGAGAAGATAGAAACAAAGTAGAGACAGGCAAGGTCAAGAACGGGGGAGAGGGAGGGGAGAGGCTGAGTGAATTCGGCAGCATTATCGCTGGAACAGAAAACCGAGAGGGTGAGAGGTGGGTGGCGAGCAGACGCCAAAACGAAGGTGGACAGAGGGAGAAGCAGAAAACTGAAAAGATAGAGAAACTAAGTATCTTAAAGGACCACTTATTCATCGATTACTTTCTAATGCATGTGTATATGCTATGAAGTCCCCTTCAAACACTGTTGCCTGAATGCTAAACATTGTTATTTACTGTATCTTTATTATCATTAATTTCAACATATTTTGTAACTTTTCTTGTGAAGTACTGTTTGGCTTATGAGTTATTTAGATGTGATTGTTTAATTTCTGAGCAAGTAGGAATTTTCTCCTTATATACTTTATTGGTTTATACTCTTAATTCCACTGCATTCTGAAACACACAATTTAAATTTCTAGAAAAAAATGAAGAAATTTCAGACTCTTATATTAATTGACACCATTAATCACAACTGTTTTTTCGAGAAGAAAAGCTGCCTTTCACTTCCACAAATCTTTGAGGTCATTAGGGTCAGACACACACCCACGGGACCCCTTCAATCAGTGGTGAAAGACATGGTTTTCACACTTTGTACACCCTTCCCAAGAAAGAAACACTTTTTAGACTGCAACCTCACACTTCCTCTGCAACGTTTACAAAACACAAACGTGTCACTCTGGTATTTCCTATTCTATCATATTTTAAAAATGCTCTTTTGACCTACTAAGTGGCTTGCACAACCCACTAGTGGGTGCTTAGCACACCCTGGAAACCCAGATGTAGAAAGCACATTTGGGCACAGATGGGAGAGCTGAGCTCCTGAGCAGCAAGCCCTGGGGGAGGCAAGGACTTGTTGCCCCCGGCTTTGCTCCCTGCTCCCCCGGGAACACTGAGAACCCACGCAGAAGTGGGCACTGTGGTACCCGTCCTGGCCAGCTCTCAGGTACACCTGTGAAACAGTTCCAGATAGGTAGAATCTTTTCTACTACTTGGGAACCTGGATTAAAATTATATCTGCATCAGTGTACATTACCAGCAATTTATATTTTTCTGTTTACTGTGACTTGGTACATAGTTAATGAAAATATACTTGGAAGTGAGCATCTTCCCCTGTCAAATTATTGAACCCCCACAATTTTTTGTAATAACGGAAACTCAACTGTCACTTACACTTGGCTTTACAAAGCTACGGTGTGGCCTGCACCAGGGCCTTGTCCCCTCCTCACACCACTTTGTCAGCAGCCGGACACTGTGCACTGCTGGGGGTGGGGACCCCGGGAGGCTCAGTAGTACATGATCCCCGCTGAAAAGGGACTGTGTGCCCACAGGAAGGGACTTGGCCTTCTCAAGCTGAACAAAGGAAATCAACAGCTCTCAATGAGTTAAATTTCAAATGAGAAGCAGTGCTTTTCCGCAGTCTGTGATTCGTTTTCTGGAAAATGCCATTTTAACATTTCCTCAAATATACCTTCTTCAAACACCCCCTCCTCCCTCCTCTCCCTTTACCTCTCGGTGACCTTCCAATATTAATATTTTCATCAGCACGCCAGCAACAAAGGTGCTTTACACATTCGGTTAGTGCTTTACACTGACTGAATTCCCACAGCCATCGTGAACTATTCTCACCCTGTTTTATAGATGAAGAGACTGAGGCACAGAGAGGTTAAGTCACTTGCCCATGGACACTGGACTGATCCAGGCAGCGCTGGCGCCCCTGCTCTCAGCCTCTGCACTTGACAGTCTCTCTCCCGCATCCTTGCTGCACATCCACATCACGAATGACTCACTCAGGACACCCTGAAATCATCCGAATGCAAGTTGGCCTCCTCTGCTGAGCAGACAGTTTACTGAGGCTCAGCAGCACATGCTGTGCAAGTCCGCATCCTGGAATCTAACACAGGGCTGGGGGCAGAGTGAGTGTGCCCCATCTTACTTTGTCACTCCCAATGTCTGACAAATGAGAGGACCTAGAGTATACCTCTCCTCCACATGACCCCAAAATATGTTAAATTGGTCACAGAAACCCAAAACTCTGTACCCAACTATGCCAAAGCATTAGACTCCTATACCATGTCTCAGTATAAAGCTTTGAGGAAAAAATGCACCAACTAACTACAAGAAAGCAGTGTAGAGAAAGGTAAGATTTCACACTCAAGCTAAAATTTAAAAGGTGGTGAAATTATACTGTACTACTTTCTTTTTTGTCTTATTTTTCTCTTACACAGTCCATCCTCTAAGATAAGAAACCCCCTCATTCTCAGGCGAGCTGTGTCTTACCTCTGGCCCCAGGGGACACTCAGCAATGTCTAGAGACATTTTTGATCGTCACCACTGCAGGGGCGGGGAGAGTTCCACTGGCAGCTCAGGAACACAAGTCAGTGATGCTCTAACCATCCTACAATACACGAGACAGCTCCCCTAAGCCCCACCCAACAAAGAATGATCTGGTCCAAGCGTCGATAATGCAGACATTAAAAGCCTTGCTCTAGGCTGCTTTGCTACATTGTATGGCAGAGCACAATTTACCCACACACTGTTAGAAGAGTCCAGCGAAGCTGCTGGCAGGGAAAGGAGAGGAAAGTGGCAGCCTTACAATTAGAAATCTGCGGGCCAGCAACCTTTCCTAGTGTCACTGGGTTAGACAGTGAACACCGACTACAAATTCCAGCCTTTGCCCTATCCCACCCCATACGGTCGCTGAATAATCCGATCGGGCACTGACCCAGCTGCGCCCAGAGAGGGTTGTACGGGTGTGTTCGGGCCAGTGCGCTCACTGACTGGGAGGTGCGTTTCTCTGCGAAGGCTTTAACGGGAGGGTGATCGACGGGCATGACGGTCGGCACCCAGGCCAGGTGGTAGGTCAGCACTGCGGTCAGCAAGGCAGCAAAAAACCTTCGAGAGAGGGAAGAAAGTACAGCCGGATGAGTCAACGCAGGAAGGGGCACGTCACATGCAGAACACACACTGGCCACGCTCCGGAGAGCTGAAGCTTACTGGTTTTTGTTGATCTGCTCTACCAGAAACGTAAACTCCTTGAGAAAGCGCTGGCAGAGCTGCGTCTTCTCCAAAGTGCTGGACATCATGGTGAGCCACACAGGCTCCGCTATCCTTGGGACGGAGTATAAGTTCCAGATAGTCTCCCTGTGAAAAGACGAGGGACACACGAAACTGTCACCAACGTTACTTCAGGTAATCTTTATACAGAGGGATAAAGGAGACAACAGTAACCTGCCCCTGTGTTGGACTCAATGGACTGATGCAGGATACAGAACAGGAGTCTGCACACTGTGGCTGCCCACAGGCCAAATCTGGCCGCCACCGTTTCTGTCGATAAGGTTTCACCGGAACACAGTTGCATTCATTCACTCACATGTTGCTGCTTTTGCACAATGATGAAGGTGAATAGCTATAACAGAGACCCTTTACAGAAAAGGTGCACCAACCCTTGAAATAAAATATTCATTTAAAAACAATTCATTACCTCAATGTCTTCAATCAGGATTTATGCCCATTTTTATAGTGAAGAAACAAAGGAAGAAATAAAGTATATTTTATACTAAAAATGTGACTGGGCCAACACAAGTCTTCTGATTTCTGGTTAGTGCTCTAATTCCCTCAGCCAAAGAACCCTACTCATTTAAGATAAAACATTACATAAATGGCCCTACACCCACTCTCACTCACCTCGCAAGGCCTCCTCTGCTGAAGATTTATAAATAATTCCTTCAAACAGGCTGGGGGCAGAGTGAGTGTGCTATATACTACGTTTTCATACGAACTAACAGGATCTAAGAGAACTAATAGAACTGTAGACTATCACAGGAACTACCTAGTCTAGTTCTGTCACTTCACACATGAAAAAACAAGCACTAGAGAAACGTTCCTGGCACGAGATAGGCAAATGCTGAACGACAGGTCAGGATGAGAACACAGGTCACCCAACTCTTTCGAGGGCTCCGTTCCAAACCACACGACTCGCGTGTTTTCCTGAGAGCACACAGACTTAGCCCAGCGCCTCCACTGGCACCCCCTCCACTCTTCCAAAATCAAAACAGATGAGACATTGGCTGACTTGATTTTCTAGCTGTGTGCATAAAAGAACTGAACCAACACTATTCCGCTTTGGCAGAGAAACAGATCATCTGCCAACTTAGGCAGCAACAAAAAATTACGGTCACGTAGAACCAGGATTCATTTACCAAACCTAAGGTCTCCAAATGCTAGCACTTCCTTTTGTCCCCGTCAGGCAGCTGAAGTGTGAAGACGACCCCTCTATGTACACTGTAGGAAGGCTTTCTGGTCATATACTTCCAGATTCTCGACGTCTGAAGAATGAATACTCTCATTAAACTAGCAATCGGACTCTCTAGTAGAAGTCAGCTTCCAGTCTGACCACAGCAGAACAACAGCAGTTCAGTGCTATCCTCACAAACCGTAGAAGGTTTACTAATCATCAGACTGTCACTAAAAAGCACAACTTCACACTACCTATTTCTGACATGTATGACTTAGGTCTTAACTATCACCAGGTAATGACTAAGATATTACTTGTGTACTTTATACATAACCCAGGATTCAAAACAGTCTGGGGATTTTGCTCCAAGTGGTATTATAGAGTTCACCAGCATATACCTTAAGCATCACAAAAATGTTCTAACACTAAGAACTGTACAACAGTTTACTCCTTAGCTACAGAGTAACAGTTTGACTCAGTAGTTCCGGACTGCTCTGGAGTGGGTTCCCTCCCCTTAGAGAAGGCGCCTCTAAGAAACAGTGTGACGATCCCAGCTCAGTGAAGCGGAGGAGAATCCCACCTGCTCCCCAAAGCACGTCACCTCTCCACCCAGACATCAGGGCAAGGACTCTAGAAAACTAGTACCCAGAGCACAGAAATCATTAATTAGAAGTTAACAATGAAGGCACACTAGGGCGGTGATGCAATTTGATGTCCAGAGCAGGGCATCTCTGGGAGGACACTGGGTATAAAGCAGGACTGTCCTGGCGAGCGGGATCGTGCACCTCCCTGACACACATGCCCTCCTCTCCACCTATGCTTTGGACGAGCATCCCTGAACTCAAGTTTACACATCCATACAATGGGCAACAGCGCCTACTGTTAGGGCTTTTGTGAGGATGATATGAAATGTGAACAGGCTTGTAAGAGACACTAGAATATTAGTTTTCTCCATTTGCTCTGTTAAAAAGAAACCAGTCAAACTGAGGACTGTCAGGCAGCAGTGAGGAGCACTTTGTGCTGAGTGACTTAGATTTTTTACTTCTTTGATCTCAGTTTCCACCTTAAAGGAAGGAGCTGCTAACGCGACTCGTCACTGCCATCCCCTGGTGACTCCGAGCCACGGGCTCAGCTGCCCTGGTCCACCGCTGCCACTGTTACTGCCTCTCACAAATTTGCTGGATTGGACAAACTGCGAATTTACCTGAATTCTCCCAGGGCTTCCATCAGACGGCTTACGTAAAACTGCACTCGGAGACTTGATTCTGCTATCTTCCGACAGGAGATCATGGCCTTCATTGAAAAGAAAGAAGCCAAATCACTTGTAGCGAAGAAACTGCTGTATTAACGGGCTGCTGGGCTTTATCATCAAAACACTGAAGGCAGTGACGCCTAAGTCATCAGGAAGCAGTCAGCTCCTCTCCTGAAGCTACACAGTGTCTGATGTATAGTATCAACGTGCCAAAGGACCCATCGCTGCTGCACAGGAGCTACATTCTCGCGGAAAGTGATCTGATACCTCAACAAAGACACTCGACCATCTTCCAAGACCCGCAGTCACTTCACTATCTGAGTAAGATTACGTTCTTATTACCTTTTCAATTGCACTCTTCAGCCTGTTCATGTGAGACTCAAACAAGGGGAAATGAGAAAAAAAGAAGTCCTGGAAATCCCTCTGGGCCTCTTCTTTCTCACACAGGGAAAAGATGATGCTGATGGCAATCTTCTTCCTGCGAACTATGGCAGGATTAGAACTGCAGGTTTCTTCAGCCAAGCTGAATGTCTCGTCGGTCGACCTGGAGGGCAATCAGTTTGAAGAGCTGCATCAGTGAGTGACCCTGAAGATGAACTCTGACCTTAGGGGACGACAGTGAGATGCTGCCCCGGAACACTCAGAGTCTTACCTGGGGTTTACCTACCTCTCACTCAGTCTCTCCTGTAATTCTCTGTTATGAAAAACGAAAGTACCACTTACAACCCCATACTCTCCTAACAGGAAAGGAAACGTAAAAACTGAGAGTAATTCGCACTATCCCCTTGTTGGACTCTTGGTCTTCTTCCCTTGGACCATTTTGCATCAGGTTGGTGGTGCTTATGAAAAGGTGTAAAATATGGGCCCTTTGTTCTCTGGTTGACAGACATCAGTAGATAAGAATGTGGGAAGAGAAAGGATCCCATGTGGTATTCCATTTAACCAAGGAGCATAATTTGACTCTTTATAGGTGGTTGAGGTTCACTTTCCCAAGGCTATTCAAATTAGATGAAGTTACCCCTGTTAAGTGCTCAGATTAAGCCATGAGGTTGATGTAGCTCTCTGGGAAATTCCCCAAACCCAAAGATCCACCTCTTTCCTGGTATAGTCGAGTTCTCAAAAACCTTAAGATTCTTTTGAGGGACTCTACTCTGACAAGAGAACCACGAAGCCAATAAATCCTTAATATAAATTAAATTTGTCTTTTTTTCCATTACCATTTATCCCCCTTATCGGTAAGCCTCACAAACATGGGCCGACCCTGTTTTTATTTAACTATTCTGAAAAGCCGGCATAACCGCCACGTTGCTATGAACAGCAAGAGTGAAAATAAACAAATTTGTTTGTTTCTGAAAAGAGATCAAAGCCATAGACAACAGTGCAAATGACAGCACCTAGCTGGACATATGGTATCAACAGTTATGCAGTAAGTTTTTCTTACTCACTGACTCCACCACTCACACTCATCTCTCTGCCAAATACGGGAGGACACCGCTTCCTCCATTTCCTCTGCTACAAATTACAACATAGCGATTACTTGTGCTTTGAAGAATTTGAGGCAGTTGACCTCCCACTCTTGGCCTTAAATTTCTTATTTAGTGCTCTGCTCACGGTCTACAATGTGCTTGTGATTTCAAGTACACACACATTTTCAAAAACATACATTACATCACAAGTTTTATGGTAAGGAAAGCTATTTTATGTTTAAAGGACAGGAGACAGACATCTTGTTCTAATCTCAGAGAAACGCGCCATTGTTTCTCCTTATTTGAAGCAAGAATCCGGAGAGGCGGCTGTGGCCGACACGTCAGTCAAGACCCTCACTAGCAGCAGTGCCTCTGGAAGGACGTGGTACATGTGACGCATCGCAATAAACCATCACCTGTCTTCTCCGAGATATTTCCAGATCCTAATCTCTGCTCACCAAGAAAAAATTCTTGAGGCTCTTAGAATTTTACTTACTTGCATACAGTGCTTGCTCTTCTTTTATGTAGTACTTGTGATTTGTTTTCCTACACCAGTTTATTTACTACTCTGTACAGGACACTCTGAGCAATTTATTAGATAACAAAATGTCCTTGCAACCTTTTTGAATATGTCCTATTTCCCTTCTTTGTCAAAAGCAAAATTACCGCATCAGCCCATGCATCTTTGGCTAATGTGGTCTTTAATAATCAAATTGCAATAAACACTGAACCTATGCAGGGGTTTATGAAGATGATTTGTGTATCATCTTCATCTCTACCCTGTGAACAATGACCACCTCCACTTTAACGTAGCAGAGAGCGCCCCCTACTGAGTGTCTGAAAAACTCCCACAGCAGTCACAGTGTGGGCAGCTCTTACTTGCTTCACCGTATCTCTCTACTGAGTTCTAAAGCAACTGAGCTTCATTCTGTAGTCTTGGATCAACCACTTAAACTGGAATAAATCAGGACACGTGGTACTGTAATTATATTTTTAAAAGTATTCCACAATAAAAGGATGTTTCCGAGTATTTTTAAAAATTCAGGTGTCGCCCAGGCCAGTGGGACTCAAGTGGTCAGAGCCACGGTCCCGTAACTGAAAGGTGGTGGGCTCGATTCACAGTGAGGGCACACGCTGAGGTTTTGGGTTGGTCCAGGTTGGGGATCGTACAGGAGGCAACCCATTGTTGTTTCTCTCTCACATCGACGTTTCTCTCCCCCTCTCTCTAACATCAGTAAACATATCCTTAAATAAGAATATATACATACATACATACATACACACACACACACACACAAATACATAACTAATTCAGGTGTGCATCCAAATACTTCATCCTATCTTTACCCTTAGCCACCTCCAGGTACAGTGTCGCAGATCATTTTTGCAAATGCAGAAGCTGAGGCACAGTGATTCATCAACTTGCTTTAGGAACAGAAAACCTGTTAGTGACCACGCTGGACTAGAACCCAGGGGCCCGCCCCATGCCTGGCCCATCGGCTGCTGTCTGTGCAGCCTCCATGGGAGGCGCCAGGCCAGCGGGAGCACCGGGGGGAGAGCTGGGCATAGTCACATCAGGTGACGGGGCTCTGGGTCAGGGAAAGACCACCGCTACCCACTTAACTTTTTCTCCTTATAAAAAAGTCATGAGGAATCTTGTTGACATAAGCATTTACAAACATTATGAGTACCTCGAGGTCACAAAAAGAGCCCAAACTCTGATGATTTCAGTGCATCTCAATGATCTTTACTAGATGTCAGGACCGCCTGGTCTAACTGTTCATGCCAACTTTGAACTTATGCTGAATCTACGGACACCTTAGAATACATGAAAGCTCCATTTCTGTGGGTCAAAGAACATCCCACCAGCAACTGAATATGGTCGGTTCCACACAAAGTCAAATCATCAATCATTCAAGTCAAAAGCCTTTCTGGCACATTATACCTGCTCCTTTAGGGCATCAACAGCCCCACTAAGGGATGAAAGCTCTGCAGCTCTGCCCCTCCACCCCCAGGGCAGTAGCACCTGCTAACTGCTCAGGCCTGGCTCCTCACCCAGGAACCCGAGTCCACCACCTGGCACAGCAGGGGGCCTTGAGGCTCGGGAGTCAGTGTGGAACCACAAGCTAAGATTGTGAATATCCTCCCTGTCTACCTTCTCTTAGCAAAAACGTTTTTTGACTACTGTGAATTTTCTCTCAAAGCCAGAGGCAATCGCATTTGTGGTACCCACTGTTCTGTCTAGCACAAGATGTTAATTTTCCCACCCACACACTTGTGTAACCTTTCAGAGAAAGGATCTTCACAGGCACGGGGATCAGCCGGAAATGTCCGAGGCACTTGCATTCTCAGCATTAAGTAGTACTGACTCCACGCCTGCTCCACAGACAGGCAGCTGCTCAACAGGGAGCCCTGCCTGCCCTGGGAAGACCCCAGGTTTGGTTTAATGCTCTGCGATTGCTACCTTGAATTCTTAATAATTTTATTATTGAACTTGTCAGGGAAGTCTGATGGACAATGAAGTCTGATGGACAATGAAGTCTGATGGACAATGAAGCATGCGTGTGAGCGATAAAGGTACCAAACTACAGAGCAGGTGGCAGTCAGGCCCTAGGGCATGCAACCCAGACAATGAGTACTGGCCTGGTGGTCAGGCACAGGCCCACATGTCTGCGCGATCCAGGGTGCCCCAAGGCCCCAGCTTGGCAAGGCTGAGACCTGGGCCCAGACTGGTGACTGTGACAGCAGCAGCAGCAGGAGAGTGGCCTGGACTGTGAGCAAGGGGAGAGACATGGCAGGGCTGAGACCCACGGTGGGAGGCCGGCTCGTCCGTCCGTCACCAGGGCTGACCCTATGCACTCTGCACAAACACTGAACTCTCCGACCTGAGCCCCGGGACAGTAAATAATCACAGAGCAAGAGCCTAGAGTGCACACTGCAAAAAAGCATGTCAGGCTGTGACTGGAATTCCTCAGAGTTTATAATCGCTGGTTTTGAAAACTGTATCAACACTATAAATCAAATATCCAGAGGCACAGAAAGAGAAGGTAAGTGTAAAGACTGATGCGTTGGACAGACACCCCCTTGCTATTTTCACACAAAGCTTCGGATGAAGAAATTATCAACAAGGAAGCTCAGTAGGAAACTAATTTCTCCATACTCCACTCCATAGTTGCGGATGCAATGAGAGAACGCATAAGGCATTTGAAATTATCTACAACTCAGGAAGACACCTTCAGTTTAAGACTTCCACAAGTTACGGGAAATGTCAAAGGAAAGATTAGAATAACCTTGTGTAAATTTACATTTAAAATTAAATTCACACACAAAATGGATCTGAGTGAAGAATTAAATCTTTTTAGAAAAAGTGTTCCACAAGAATCAGCTGATCTAGAGGTACAAAAATTTACATTTTGAAAGCCGATCAGAAATGTGTCTCCATGTTGCCAATAACCTGTGAAGCTCCAGTAACAGCTGCATCAGCAGAAAGATCTTTCTCCAAGTGAAAAAGCTGCCAAAAATATCTGCCTCTTGCATTTGCCAGGAGCTACTAACACTGCTTATACCTCACCTGATGTATAAATTACATCAATTAGTGTACAAATTTTGATAATGCAAACAAACGAACTTGCAGAAAAGTGAGCTAGAGAAATCTTATAATAAATGAAGGTATTGCATTATTACTATTTCTTATATTATGACATCAAAGTATTTCTTTTTGTAATTTATAAATTTGCTATTATTCATTTTTTTCTTTTATTGATTCCAGAGAAAAGGGAAGGGAGGGAGGGAGAAAGAAAGGAAAACGTGAGTGAGAGAGAAACACTGATCAGCTAGCTGCACCCTGACTGGGGATCAAACTCGCAGCCCAGGCATATGCCCTGACCGGGCACTGAACCTGTGACCCTCCAGTCTACAGGACGATGCCCACACAACTGAGCTAAACCAACCAGGGCAATTTATGTTATTACTCATGTGTCACTGTTATTCCTACTACATTTAGTAAGTAAAATATCTTTAAAGGGAAAATTTTACATTTTAGTACTCTTTAACAGCACTTTTTCCTGCTTTCTGAACAAGGGAGCCAGCACTTCCACTTTTGAGCCCAAGATATCTATTTTAGGTGTGAGTTCACTAAAGATACATTAATTCCCAAAGCCAGGTCTCAATTCAAATTAGAGATTTTGGAGAATCTGGGAGGACTGGGTTGGAGATTGCTACTCAACTTTGGGTTCACACCTGAAAGGATGGAAAAGCATTTTCAGTCAAGGGACGATGTCTGAAGGCGAAGGCTTCTAAGCCCCATCCATTCCCCCAGCCACAGAAGTCGCCATAACGACCGAGATGATGGTGGGACCCCTTCTCCTGGCGGCTGCAGCCGCAGCAATGACAATGGTGGCAATAAGAAGAGTAAGCAAGCCGTATCTGCCAACATTTTACTCACTGCACCTCATCCCAGCCTGACACGACCTGCTCATCCAGTGCACGGCAGAGCTGGGACGCGTCCCCGCATTGAACTCCCAGCTCTTCACCACTCTGCACAAAGTCCATCGACCTCAAAGCAGTTCTTCAGTGAGTAACGTGGCCAAGATTTTAATTTTTGGTCTCACTCCCTGCCATCTTGAGAGCAACAGAAGAGACAAGCGGCCTGCCCTGTGCCACGCACGCGCCTTGAATCCTGGGTCCTCGGCTTGTCACTTCAGCACCAACTCTTTCATGAAAGACCCCCAGTTCCCCCCACAACCACCAGCAACTGTTCCCTCCCTTCTCCAAGTCCCAAAGCACTTGACGCCTCTCTACAGCACTGATCATTTAGGTCTTCATACCACTATTTATGGTATGTACCTTCAAACTATCTAAATGCAGGCAAGTACCTAAATCACATTTACACCTTCACGGACCCCCTACGCGTGGTAATCACCAGTCACCTTGCTAAATCCAGCAATTTCCATGTGGATTTTCATAGGCACAACCTATCTTAATTCCCTTCTGAGTTCCTGGACTGCAGAAAGAAGAGGTTGCAGGCTACTGATGTAACAGCATTGAAAGCCAAAAATGTACATTTTCAATAAACTTTAGATCTAAAAGCATGCCAAGTGGGTACTAGAATTATTGGGGGAATCACCTTGTAAATTATACAAATTTCTAACCACTATGCTATGCACATAAAACTAATGTAAAATAATACTGAAAGTCAACTGTAATTTAAAAATTTAAAAAAATAAAAATCAACTGAAAGCAGAAGGCAGAAAATATCTTGATACCACCCCCATTCATAACCCAATTCATGACTGTTTAAGAATTTGAGTTTTACAGAGAAAGTATGTCACAATCCTTGAGTTCATAAATTCTTGAAGGTCACAATGGTGTCACCATAAGAAGAGATTCACTCCACTCTCCTAACATACAAGAGCCACACCTGGAAGGGAGCCAATTAGAACACAGTGCACACTCATTCCAAATTAACAGCAAACGTAGCTTATATACAACACAACCACCCAGATATTTCCCAGTGTCTTTCCAAACCAGGAGATATTTTGCGCTTGTTTTTATTTATTCTTTCCAGGAAACTTCTAACTTGTGAACTTTCATGCTAACCTGAAGCTCATCAAAAAGCTTCAACTCCCCTATCCCCTTGACACCAGGCGAGTACAGCGTCCTGCGGTCCCATCAAGCTGCCTGCGAGGGTACCCTTCTCAGTGAGAGACCTGCAGCTCACCTCCGGGGAATGATGCCGTTTTCCAAACTTGTGGTCTGACTCCGAAGCCAGCGGCGCTGGTAACTGCTGGAAGAGGACGCAGAGGAGCTTGGCGATGGGAAAGGTGTGATCAAAAGGCTGCTTAGAGAGGCTGTGGGGAGGAAAAGGTAAAAATCGGAAGTTGAGGTAATGAGTCCTGAGTAGCTACATAAAAAACATGCATGCCAAGTAACCTAAATTTTGAGGTTCTACCAGTCATATCCAGCAGGGGGAGACATAACTTCTCTGTTACTGAGACTTGAGTACAGCAAAGAAAACAAATAGAAACAGGGATTACATACCTAGCAAGTGCACCAGGCCCCATATTACAAATGCAAAGTAATTATTACTCATTCAGTCAGAGGGTAGAGAGCGGATTTCTCATTAAATAGCCCACATAACACAATCATTTATATTACTACCCTGGAAACCAACTCCATGCACAATGTTTACTCACAGCCTCTGTCTCCTCTTGACCAGCCCTCACTCGCTATTTTGAGGTGAAAGCTACACAGATAAGTGGCTGCTCCACATAATATCCCTTCCCTGCTCCCTATCTCCAAACACAACATTTATTCATCTGTCTCCCCTATCCCCAGCCTCTAGTCTTAGTCTTAAATGTATTCTGCTTGCGTTATCTATTTACCTACGAGCCTCTCTCTGCTTCCAGAACATCAGCTGCCTGTACGGGGCTTGCACTCCCAGCTTGCATTCTGAGTGAGCTGCCCTGAGGCCCAGACTCCCATCCCAGGCAGGTAGGGCCTGGTCCCTCTAGGGGAGGCAAAGGGTTTCTTTCAAAGTCACAGCTGCTTGAGAGATGTCTAATGATTTGGAAGAATGGAAGGAGGAGACAGGCTTTCTCCTTTTACTTCCTTAGGGCTAAGGAATTAGACACCCAAGTTTCAGTCCAGTGGGAAAGGAAATGGGCTGTTAGAAATCGCTGGTCAACATTTTCAGAAGAAAATCACAGGACAAAGGAAAGTGACTTCAGTAAACACAGGGCAATATGCTCCCAGATATCACTTGATAAGGCAGTTTCTCCAAATGACTATTACATTTCTACTTATGCTTTTACAGGCAGATGGAAATAACCTGACTCTCTGACCTCAGTTCTTAAATACTGCAAGAGTTACTGGGCTATTAGCCAATAATCAATAAGCTAACGCTGAGTGCCTACCATGTTGGGTGTTGTGCTAGGCATCAGGGACACACCAGTGGACAATACACACACATCGGCCTGCATGACGCTTCGAGTCTAGAATAGCGGTGAACTTCCCAGGCTACAAAACATAGATATTTGCATAACGACTTCAGGTTCTTTCCACAGCAGAGGCCTATGGGATGCTTTGCACCCCTGTACCCAGGACAGTGCCCTGAATACAACAGACAATGAATAAATGTTTGCTGAGTATGCAGCACTTCTACACAAAGTGCTACACAGCTGTGGCTAGCCTGGGACGGTGGCCTCTGTTCTGATCTGGTTTCAGCCTTGATTTAAGCCTTCCCTAAATCTCCAGAGTCAAATCCACATGTCTAATAGCAGTGAGCTGGTAATTTTACTGAGGATTTTTAAAGGAGATAGAAGAAAGCTTTTCCTCAAAGCCACACAAAATTACTCAATAAAAATCCCTATTAGACGTCTCTGCCCCACCCTGCCCCCAGACCTCAGAGCCCCCTATAAGATCCAAAGATCTTTGCTCCCTACCCCCAAATCCTCAGTGTCCCCCATCTCTGCCCATGTCCTGCTGAGCAAATCAGCTTCTTTTGGCAGGTGGAGGCACAGCTGAAGGGCAGTACTTATAAACACTTTTCCCCATCATAGAAGCAAGGTGGTGATGCCACCCCTGAGGTCGGCCAGTTTATTCTGGAAATTGGTATGAATTCAGTTTAGTAAATTGGGTAAGAGCTCAGGCTTCTGGTTCAGACCCCAGCTCTGCCGCTCACCAGCTGTGACACTTGGATAGGTCACTGAACCTGTCAGCTTCCTCATCTGTACAGAGGGGACAGAAGTACCACATCTCAGTTATGAACTGTTTAGTGCATCAAAATGAATATCGAAAAAGAAGAAAACTGTAATACAGTGTGAATATTAATTGATAAAACTTTGTCATCTATATAGGTATTTGTTTCTAGATCATGATAGGAAATGCATTCGCATGTGTTGCAGATAAAAGTCTGAAAAACACTGCTTGATTTCCTGAGATTCCTGTGAGGATTAAAGTAATCATATAAAATGCTTAGCCCAGTGCCCGACACAGTGACTATTAGCTATTCACACTCTCATAGTTCTTGGAAAAGCTGGACTAATTAAGACATTTCTGGGTACTAAATGGTTAATGCTAATTAGCTAATTACGAAAAGAAACTAGGACTTGTATAATAGAGACGTGAAAAGGCAAAAAGTTAAAAGAGAAGAGGCTATGCCTGCTCTCATCATTAAAAAATGCTGAGTAAGAATTTTTATGGCATACAAATGAAATATTAAGCTAAAGTGCTGGCTTGGAGCTGGCCAGCATTTCCTCATCAAAAATATCTTAGTATTGCCCTGGCTGGTGTAGCTCAGTGGACTGAGCGCGGGCCTGTGAAGCAAAGGGCTGCTGGTCCCATTCCCAGTCGGGCACATGCCTGGGTTGCAGGCCAGGTCCCCAGTGGGGGACACACGAGAGACAACCACACACTGATGTTTCTCCTTCTCTTTCTCCCTCATTTCCCTTCTCGCTAAAAATAAATAAATAAATAAATAAATAAATAAATAAATAAAATCTTTAAAAAATCTTAATATTATTTAATAAGACCTTTATGGAAAATGATGCAGTTACATCTTTCGAATGCAAAAATCAGGCCTAACTCTGGCCCACAACCCACTGCCATTTTTCACGAGAGGAGGTGGGTTCGGCTATCTGCTCAGCCGACGTGAGTGCATTTAACGCTGGCAGGGCTCTCGGTCCGAGAGGCCATGCGGTGTGCTGGGACGCTGGAGCCCTGCCGTCCACCCCGTGCACCTGAGGAGCCTGTTCGACACAGCTGCCTGGGTTCTGCCCAGCTGCTGCGAGCACAACCTGCGCCGTGGGGCCCGGCACCCAGTGGGCCCTGGGGAGTTTCTGCACGGGAGCTGCAGCCCGGCTATGTTCCCAATCAGCTGGGTGAGCTGGTAAAGAACATCCCCAATTATGTGAGACTTTTCACTTATTCACAGGCTCATTTTCAGCTTTGAAAGTGCTATGTCTAACACTCCTTAATATTTTTAGTATCACTTTTCTTTTTAGAATTTTTTATGAGTAAACAAATGTTGATACATGTACAGATTGCAGAGACTTTTGCAGTTGTGTGCACTAATCAGAAAATGACAAGTAGCCAAACCCCCATCACCGATGACTGCTCACATTCGGCCCCTGGCTAACCTCCACACACTCCACCGTGTGCGTTCCACTCCACCCTCCTGCCCGAGCAGGGCTCCGCCACTTGCACCCATTTGCTCCCAAACAAGGAATGGGCCGTTCTGGTGGGTGACGCCGGCAACGGGGGAGGCTGTGCACAGGCAGAAGGAGGCCTGTATGGGAAATCTCTGTACCTTTCCATGAAGTTTTGCTGTGAACCTAAAACTACTCTAAAATATAAGGTCTATTTTTATTTATTTATTTATTTATTTTTAAATATTTATTTATTTATTTATCTTTAGAGGAGAAGGAGAGAGGGAGAGAAACATCAATGTATGGTTGCCTCTAATGCGTCCCCTGCTGGGAGCTGGCCTGCAGGGAACTTGCTTGCAACCCAGGCATGTGCCCTGACTGGGAATTGAACTGCAATCCTCTGGTTCGCAGGCCAGTGCTCAATCCACTGAGCTATACCAGCCAGGGCTTATAAAGTCTATTTTTAAAAATTAAGGTGTTTTGAAATTATCGTGGCAAGTCTAGAAAGGAAAGGCTGAAGTGAAAGAGTGTACAAATCTGTGAAATTGAAGAAAATAAATGCCCGTTCCAGGAGAGGACCAAAGGGCTGCCTGGAAATAAGAGCAGTCTAAAGAGATGAGGAAATTTAGTTCTGCCCAAGCTACAGCACAGATTGCCACATTCACGCATCCTTAAAACAAGGCAAGAGCCCAGCTAAAGAGCTGACAGTAAAGATACAAGACATGTTTGGGTTTGGACCGCTCATCACGTACACAGACAGTGAGAAGCAGCAGCAGCGAAAGGTGCCAGCGCCCACTGACCCTCGTCCCCCACACCGAAAAGAACGCCACTGACACAAAAGGGGTCAGATGCCGGCAACACAAGTTGTGGGAGCCCCTGTTGCTGGGAGGAGCCATCCTGGACCCCAGCCGGGCAGCTTTACATTCTGCCGCTCTAGTATGATAGGGGCTGGGCAGAAAGCTCCGAATCTCATCAGAAGCCTGGAGGCAATGAGAGATGAGAAACCGCCTCCTGTCAACTGCCCAGGAGAGAGAGAGAAGTGAGGGAGGAGATGGGGGAAGAAGGTACAGAAAATAAGTAGCATAGACAGTAGATAGAAAATAGATGGGGGGGGGCAAGAATAGCATGGGAAATATAGAACCTAAAGGACTTGAGACACATGGACATAAACTAAAGGGGGGTAATGGTGGGGATGGGGGGGCAGGGTGGAGGGGAATGAAGGGGGGAATAGAACAACTGTAACAGCATAATCAATTTAAAAAATAAATAAATAAATAAATAAATAAAATACTAAAAAATAAAAATAAATAAAAATAAAAATAAAAAAAGAAGTGAGTGGCAGATGACCTCCTAGCAGCTCCTCAGAGATTCCCCATTCTCTCGTGTCCCCTGAGGAGCACAGGCTATACCACCAAGACTCAGATAAGGGGCAGGTCAAGCCTTTGCCGTGTGCAAGCTCAGTGGGGCACCATGGACTTCTCCCTGCACAGACAGCAATCGGGAGCTCTCGACTCCTGCAGCTCTGCAAAGCACTGTATCAGCTAAGTCAGTAAGGGTTCAGGTACAGATGGGATGTCACTCTGTATTATTCAATGGGCCGCCCAGCTCTTGATGTTTGACTGCTGATAGCTTTTAAGCTTTACCACCACCTTCTTCCTTTTTCCCTGTCCCATATCTGGGCAAGCAGATGAACAAGTCTGGGTGCTCCTTCCTTCGGAGCCAGTGGGACGTTCGCACCACATGCAGGGCCCCTCACCCTGGGCCTCCCCCTAGCTGTCATAAGCCACCCCCCAAACAGTTTCCATTTCTCCCAAGTCATTTTCTGACCAGCTTGAGAAGCCCACGAGCTCTCGCCAGAAAGCCTCATTCTGTGGGTAACGAATCCCCTCATATCGTCCTGGTGTGCACGTGCTGACACCAGCCTTGACACCCAGACCACACTCTGGGTGTGGGGTGCACCCTGTCCCGTGCACAGTGGCCCAAACACAGCCTATTTAACCACCGTGGTGGCCTGCATTCTTACCAGGGACGTCCACTGTAAAACGCTTCAATACAAATGTTTGAAAGTACATGTTAGAAGTTTCACTCACATTGATCTTCAGTTTATTTTACTGCTTTTAAGAACAGGAAGTGAAGTTGCACAGAGCATGGGGACATTATTTTTCTTGTCGATGACATGGACATTTTGATGAGAAAGAGAATCTAAGTGTAAATTAAGGTGACATATTAACAAGGCTCAGTGACTCTGGTCTCAGTCCTGGCCCTCTGAACCTACTCCACTCCTGCGCCCAAGATTTCCAAAGCTTAATCCTCCTCCGATCCATCTCTTTTGGACCCAGCTCCCTATTTCAAAATTACACCTGACTACTCCTGGCTGGAGAACGCACAGACACTTCTAATAAAAAAGTATCTTAATATCCACCCCCTCAGATGCCCCCCTGCTTTCCCTAAACTGGTCGATGCCACCACCCTCTGCTTCCTTCCCCAAGTTAGAAACTGGAGAGTCAGTCGCCCCGGGCTGCTGGTCCCTCCCTCCCCCATCGCCCGCATCCCGTCCAACACGAGCCCTGCCCGTGTCACCTCCTGTACAGCTGGAATTCATCCTTCTCTCCGAAGACTTCACTTGGAAATTTTCTAATGGCAACCACTAAAAGAACCTCTTAAAAATAATTTATATTTTTGAATTATATATGTACAGAGAACACATTGAAAATATCCAAAAGAGGATTCAATGACAATGTGTTTCCCCTCCACACCTGCTCCATATGAACAAGCTTGTATCCTTTCCAGAGGTGTACTGGGATCGCACTTCTTTATGTGCAGTAAGAGAGATCCTGTATGTGCCTTTTTAGGAAACACAAATGATACACCCTAAGAGAACTTTCCTATTTCGAGGCACGCTAAACTGGCTCAGTCCTTTTAATTGCCACGTGGTATTCCTTTACTGGGAAGCACGTCTTCTAACCAGTCCTCAGTGATGAACATTCAGGTTGCCTGCCATCTTTTAGCAAGCAGCAATATTTCCTCTTGTCTCCCAGTTCTACTTCTCATCTTCCACAACGACACTAGAAAAATGGTTCTCAAATTTGTTACGAGTAAAAGTCTATGAATATTACATTCTAAAAATTCAGGGAGTAGGGCAAAGATTTTTGAGTAACTGCTAATATTATGATGTAAAAATTATTATGAGCTTATTTTTTTGTGTATTCATTTACTAAAGACATATCTTTAAAAAACAGTCTTTATAAGTAGCTACGGCAGTGAGTGAGTTGGATGCTCTTGTCACTGCTCTGTCCCCATTCCATGCCTGTCACTCACTATGCAAAGAGGCGCTGGAGTATTTATTACAAGGAGTAAAATGCAATAAGAATAGATCAGAATTAAGATTTTCTTTCCTCTGTTATTACAAAAAGCTACTAGATAACCCAGGCGGGGAAAAAAGTTGTATATTTTTCTAAGATACTACTCCAAAATGGGCTGAAAAGGAAAAAAAAAATGGACTACTTTTCCAAATGTTATGCTAAAGCAGATAATCATTTTATACCAGTGATATGCACATACACACACAGTGACAAGCGCCCCATAAGTTTGGAAACATTACGTTGAAATAAAGTTAATGTGGAACAACTCTATTGTCCATCTCCCTCAGCCACTTCACCACAGCTAAATGAAAAAGGATAACTGTTAATCTATTTCAGCAATAACGATACTGGTCCAGTTTTCCCTGGAGCAGAGTTTGTGAAGCACCGCATGGATCTAAAATATACAGGCCATGAGGCCAGCACCCCTCAGCTGCTCTGCTAACACTATCAAACCCAAACTCCTTAGCGCGGCACTGGCACCTTCGAAATGGCCTTCCACAGCCGGCCTGACCTTCAGACATGCCCTGACTCTCCCGCACGCTCACAGGGCATGCTCAAGAATCCGCACCCTTGCACAAACTATTTTCAGAAATGCTCTTTTCCTAAGCTCCCTTGTAGTCCTTTGCTACCTACAAGCTGTCACTCAAATACCATGTTTCCCATGAGGCCATTGTCCGACTTCCCAGACGAAGGCACGTATTTTTTGTTCCCACAGTGGTTATGAGGTAGTACTTATCACATGGCATTGTATTTTATTTTAAAGAAAACAAGTTTATTTGGAAAAACTGCTGTTTAACTCTTGGTTTACATGTAACTCTTCCTGAGGGCAAATGTTGTATTTTTACTCTTCTTCAAAAACCTCCCCAATACTGGTAGAACCTAACAACATGGGCGGGGGTGCGTAGAAAATTGTTATTCAACAAACAAATGTGACCTGATGGTTGGCTAGGCAGAAATTGGTGCTACCCTTCCAACTCCCTCCCTTAATTTCAACTGTATCGAATTGGTCTTACAGGGGAAACCACAAAAATAATTTAGTTCTCTAACAACAGAGTAAACTTGTGTAAGAATTTAACACCACATGGTTCTTTGTATTCCCAGAGAATATTGTACATAGAACAAGTTGCATAATAACTAAAGGTGAAGATAAATGTGAAGTAAGTTCTTCCATCCATTCTCTCCTTTGCAAGTTGCCTGCAGACGGAGATATCTACAGAAGGAACTGATAAGCCAGGACCAAGAACTTCTGGTTTCTTCCCAATGGAGAATTGCAAAAATCTCCTTTAAAATTCCTTTTTTTACCCTGGGCCCTTTCTCAGAGTCCTGGGCACCTGGGCCCTTTAAATCATAAATAAGCAATGATTTAAAAAACAAACAACAAAAAATATTTTCTAAAGCTATTTCTTTACTAGACTATTGAGAAAAAAATTTTTCAGCCACAAATTGTTCTTCAAAACTGACTTGTGTAGTCAGAATTTCTGGCAGCGTGCAGGAAGCCAGGTGCAAGATAAGCTGGTGTCAGCTGTGATTTCAGAGATTCCTCTGGGCTGGGACAAGTCACTGCAAAAATTCCCCTGCCTGCAAAGGTGCTGACCCGGGTAACTTCAGAGATGAGTGGACACGTGAGACTAAAGGTAAAAGGAATTGCCTGTGAGCGCTGTACCCTAGTCACTAAAGTCGTTTCCTTCAGGGGTACGAGTCAGCAACTCTGACACTGCTGCGTATGCCTACGGAAGTGAACCAATCAAATGGATGGCAAATGGTGGGAACCAGGTTTCCTGCGGTTGGAGTGGGAGTTCACAAGTAAGCAAGGGAAGAAAGTTAATGGGTTATTAACAATGGAGATATCAGTACCAACTCATTTTAAGTTTATATAGATGTAGATGTTACACATAGCAATTTTATACACGTGTCTACACACACACAAACTCCTATTTTTTGCTTGTCAGATGAGAGGGCCTATAAGAAATGACACCCCAGAAAGCATTAAGTACATCTAGTGTCTGAATCTCAGACCCTAATACCATTGTCCGGTGAAAGGACAGGGCTCCAATGAGAAATGGCTGGTTCTAGCACTGGAGTAGAAGACACACAAAACAAGTCTGGAGCATCTGGTAGTGCCAGAAAGCAAGGAAGTGCTCAAAATACACACTCACACACAATGACAAGGGTCACACACTCACGCACACACTGATGTGGGTCACACACACACTCACTGATGGAGTCACAAAGGCACTAGTGGGGGTCACACACACAGACACATGTTGATGGAGTACATTAAAGTAACACAGGAGCTTCATGGCTTCAATAGCCAAATATGAAACAATTTGAGCAACTAAATAAAGTAGAATTGAATTAAAACCCAAAGTATACAATAACATATCTATGAGTCCATATTGATATGATTGACTGAATGAATGAATTAATGAATAGATAAGGGAATAGATAAATCTCCCATGCAGAAAAGTTCCAGATAGTTCCAAAGTAGACCAAGTAGACCCAAATGACTCAACTGTTTATTTAACCATAAATGAAATGCTATGTACTTCACATTACGTGACACACACAGACCAGAGGGAATCAGTAACAAATTACATTCAATAACTTGGGAATAAAGTTGTGCCCGAGCACAGTACAGGACCCCTGACTGGTGAAGGGGGCGTGTCATCACTGGTGAAACCAGCAGGGTGTCCCTTCCTAGGCTGCGTGTCCAATGTACGTTCATCAGGCAAAGCCGCACACAGCTCCAAGTCCTCAAATTCCAGATCAGTTCCCTACCTTTTACAGAAAAACTCTATCTCAGATCGGAACCACAATCAAAATCAAGAGCGGAACTGTGTCCTAAAGCAGAAATCAAGAGATCTTAAAAGCAGCATTAGAAAAGGTCAAGGCTTAAGGTAAGGAGAATTGGGGTACCTGAGATAAAATCACAAACACACGACACGAGGACAGGGCACAGGGTGACCGAGTCAGCTGGTGAGCCCCCCTTAGTCCCAAGTAAATGTGCTTCCACACACACTTTCCCTCCTCCGATTTCATAATCAACGGTCAGCAAGCAAACTCCCAGTACGACTGGCTCTAAGAAGCCTTCCTCTACAAAGAAATGTCTCAAAATACGTTAGTCTCATAGTAGTCTGAGTAACAGAAAAAACTGGCCCACGTTGTACAATTACCACTAGATGCTGAGCATCGAAGTTCTAGATCTTCAGACACGCGAGGCTTTAGAATATGGAGGGGGGAAAAAAAGAAGACGAGGCCTGTCTTCTATTTTCCCACTACCTGACCGTTATGGACAGCTCACTGTTAGTAGCACCAGTAAACGGAGGTACAAATACCTGATCGAGCAATGCCACTGTCCCTGTCTTCGTTCTGTCCTCTGCTGGGCATGTCCACTGGGGTGCTGTGTGCTAAGATAGAGGCAAAAGGAAACCATGTTATCAGGCTCTTCAAAGAAAAAGTGGTTTTAATCTCAGTACGGTAAGTTTCACATTTCAAAGTAGATTACTGCTATTGATGATTGGCATAAATTTATGCAGAGATTAATTAGAAGTCGAAATTAAACACACGAAAAGGTGACAGTGAGAGTAAGAGGAGAACAAAGCCCAGCAGCCGCCGGCCTTCACACTGCACCACCTACACCCATTCGAGTGACCGCGCCTCCGAAACCTGGATAACCAACTGCTGACGTAGCTGGCACAGGAACGAGCACTCTCAGGCAGATACTTTTAGCCACTGTCCTCATATTTGGTAAACTTAAATAGCACTGTAGTTTTAAAAGTCTTTACAATCAATTTCAGTAGTAACTATAGGCAACTCAGGGAAGAGAAATACTTGAAAACCAATTTATAAATTTAAAAAGTGTTTCTCTGTTTACAACACACTCTCTTGGAAGACAGAAAACACTTATATTCATTTTCAAATATTTCTTCCTCTGCTTCTTTTCCACATACACCCAATACACAGTATTATCGCAAAGTTACTTAGGAAAACTCATGTCCTGGCACAAATGTTAGAAAAACACTGCAGAATCAGAGACTTCGAGGAATGCTTCAGATCGGCTGAAACTGTCTACTTATTGAGCTAGAGCACAGACGACACGTGGCTCCAGTGAACTCTCAGCCCAGGGCCCTGCCTGAGGAATATTCTCGCCAGCTATTTCCTGAAGCATTGTTGACTTTCACAACTTTAAAGAGCGCGGATAAGCATGCACTCCTCACTCTAAGTAGGTGGGAGGGTGTCAGTTTTATTAGGGTGTCAGTTAACTGTGGTGCTTCGGCATATTTCAGGCTACAAGAAAGAACAGAATACCTTTTGCCATAAACATAACCTTTAATGCTAGAAATGAAGGTCCCCACACTTGTTAATCATGCCAGACTACGACAGCCACCCAGCAGCCTTATTTAGTTAGTTAGCAAGATCAGTTAAATCTTAGGCTTTACCTACCCACAGAGACTGAGATGATTATACCTGTAAAGAACCTAGAAACTGCATTTAAACTACTTAAATGCGAGAGGAAGAGAGACAATGAGGGAGAGAGGCAGAGAGGGACAGAGATGTCTTCCATGCTCTTATTAGAGTGACTTCTGAAGAAACTGTGCAGGTACGGATGGATGCAGGTGAATAAATGGATAAAACATACCATGGCAAAGGGAAAAGATTCATAGTAGCAGAAGAAGCCTACAAAAATCAGAAAATGTAATCCTCTTAGAAACACTAAGGGCTCATTTCAGACCAAAATCAGCTTACCCTGGGGTTTATCAAAGGTATTTACAACAGAGGTTCATTGGTGAAATTTTCAAAACACCATGAACTTGGCTCCATTTGAAACTAGTATCTCAAGAGCCCCTTGGATTTCTAGAGAGGGAGCAAACAGGATTTTTTTGCTAAGAACCTGCACGGGACGTATTACTATGTGTGCGGGTCACACTGTACTCAGCATTCCACACAAACCTGCAAAGAAAGAAGCACTGCGGGTGAGCCGGAGAGGTCCTCCTTCCGCCACCCCCTGCAGCAGCTTGCTGCTGCACGCCTGCAGCAGACCTGGGGGCAGAGACACACAGAGAAGGGCAAACAAAGTACGCACAAAAAAATAAATACAGATTAAAGATAATGCAAACAAAACAAAACAGCACAACAAACTCAAATAAAGCAAAACACACACCCACGACAGTGGTATTCAGAAAGAAATGAACCCATTCATGCGGCTGGCTTTTACCTAAATTACTTCCAGTACGGCAAGGACCCAAATTATTCTGATTTGTGTTCAGTTTTCCCAAGTTGGGATCTTGGTTGATGTATTCAAAGCTGTCCTGCAAGCTAAATCCAGGCAGGTGGAGGGAGAGAGAGGAGAAAAATGTCAAGAGATGAATAAAGCTATTTTCTAACAGACCCTCAAATACAGACAACCTAATCAGTTGCTCAGACTTTTAAAATAAATGAATAAAGTCTCACATCTACCAAAGAAAATTACACTTTAGGGGAGTTCGTTAAAGGAAAAGAAAAGACAAGCATTTTGGAGGTAGTCCAACCTATAAAACTTAACAATGCATTCCTAACAGTTTCACATTACATAATGAGACAAACTCTATAAATTCTGATCAGTGACTAACACCTAGGATATTGCTATTCATTTCTAAATTTTGCTTTAGTGACTGACACCTAAGCTGTTACTATTCGTTTCAAAGGCAATTTTACATAAACCTTCAAAATGAAATTAAGTTGAACTCTCAGTTAATATCAATGAGCAATGCAGAGACTTTTTAAAGGAGGGTCCAACAGAAATTGATGTGGTTCCTACAGGAGCCTGAGTTCACACCTGAAAATTCAGCGTTACTAACACACACAATGTGAGGGAAGCAGATTTTGATAACTTACTATATTTATAAGAAGTAAAATAAAAATCAAGATTTTAAAAATAATGCAGAACAATGAGGTCAAAATGATTTTCAGTGAAATCTGAGTTCAGTATTCTACTACAGGGAGTTAGTGCAACACATATTTGGGAAAAAGACTCTCACAAGAAATGCACATCACTTCCTGTACTGGCTTTGTGCCAGCCCCGTGTTAAGTGCTCAAATTAGTTCAGTTTGTTACATTGTTGAAGAGTGGGCAGACTTCCTCAAATGGTACCCAAATCTGCAAAGAAATACATCTCTAATATCTCAGGATAGCGGCCTTCATTCAACTCATAAGAATGCCCCTTTAATTTGTAACTAACCTTCCTTTCAAACTTACCAAAGAATAACAAATGCTTTATTTTTTTTAAGTACAGAAAATAATTTTTGCTTCCAAAGTTCAAAATATATGAGCAAGTGTACCAGAATGAGAATTCAGGTAGATATTTCAGTATTTTTAGCTTACACAGAAATAAAAGTAGAGGAAGAAAAAAAACCTCAGGAGTGAAAATCAAAACAGTGCCCGATCCAAGGACCAGCCAGTCACAGAGGCTGCACTGGCAGCTGCCTGGGTGGCAAGCGCAGACACCCAGTCCTGCCAAACGGGTCCCCAGCAGCCTGGAAAAACTGGGTGCTTCACTCCTTAAACAAATAAACAGACACACTAACAAACATGTCTTCCAGTTTTTAAAGGATAAAATAACATTGGGAAATACCATAAACTCCTGAACGTGGCCCCTCCCTTCCCCCTTCACTGTCCATTTTCTAAGGAATAGAAGCTTGGAGATGACAGTAAACACGCGGTAAGAGAGGGACCCAATATGCAGAAATGCTCACTTGTCTTAAGGCCACTGGAGTCAAAGACCTTTTATATGCACTAAGTATAGGAAAATAGCCGCTTTTAAGATCCCTGCGTTAATGTGGACTCATCCAGCTTCTCATTTATGGCCCTTGGAGAATTACTCTATCCAGAAAATAGCCAGTTAAAAAAATGGGGTGGGGTGGGGAGAGGTGGTATGCAAAATCTCACACTTACTTATTTGTACTCCCACAGAAGCTGCCCATTCTAGCAGAGAAAACTTTGCTAATCATCAGCTGTGGCGGGGAGCTGGGGGGAAAGAAAGAAGAAAGGCATTTTTGAACTAATGAGTCAATATCACTTTCCACTTCTCACGACCAATAGAACAAGCGGCCCCAACTCACCGTATATAGTGTATCTTCAAGGTGGAGCCCTGGTAACTCATTGCAACGGAGCCGAACATCATCTCCCCCAGCATGTTGACATCCGAGGCTGGTCTCGTGTACTGCCCCACACAAAGGAAACCGAAATCAAAGCTAGCACGTGGCACGTGGTGTGCAATGTAACAGAATGATGTTTATTAATCTCTGGGTCCCTCTTCAGTTTAGTGGATAATTATTTCTCAAAGATGCAATTGGCCATTTTACATTTCTTAATGGTGATGGGCCTATTTTTCCTCAAATTATTACTAATGTTCATGATTTCTTCTTTATACACAATATCATCATGAGGATCCCAAGGTTTTATCTGTTTATTTTTAGTTTTGTTATGAGAAACAAATGTTTTTTTTTTAGTTGTATTCTAGGAAGAGGGGACAGTACTGTCAAATCTTAGGGACAGTATGAAACAATACATGTTTTTTTAAAGATTTTTATTTATTTATCTTTAGAGGGGAAGGGAAGGAGAGAGGGAGAGAAACATCAATGTATGGTTGCCTTTCGTGTGTCCCCTGCCGGGAACTGGCCTGCAACCCAGGCATGTGCCCTGACTGGGAATCGAACCTCGACTGCCTGGTTCGCAGGCCCGCACTCAATCCACTGAGCTACACCAGCCAGGGCCAAGAAACACATGTTTTTATTATCTGCATTGATAAACTCTAAATAGAAAAATTAAGTTATGAAGGAAGCAGGGTCACTCTCCCCTTGGTACTAAGAACACACCCTGAAAAGAAACACGGCTCAGGATCATTCCATCAAATGATAAAGTGTTGGACAAAAGTGTTAATTGGTACAGGGAGGGTTTGTAAGGGTCTGAAAAATAACAAGAGAGTTTTATACCTCTGGAGTTTTACAAAACAGCTCTTTAAATATTTGGCCCCTTAGCTTCTGACCAGTTTTTCTAGGCCCTTCTGTCATCCCAAGGGGCAGACCGCACCGGTCCCCCTCTGCCCACTCTCATCTGCTCCTTAACCTTCTGCAGCCTCCTCTAGGCAACTGCTCCAGCCATGACCCGGCCTCCCTGTCGATTCCAGCGGACACTTTCCAGTTTGCTTTCTTAAGTGTCTGTCACAGTAGCTGATGCTCTTAATAACTCTGCTTCTAGACCTTCTTCCCCAGACCATCCCCGGAACAGGACTGTTCCTCAGAGGGGCCTCCTACTCAACGTCTGCATTCTCCACCACTCTTACACTTTGATTATTCTTTACATAGGAAAGCCGCACTCCCCCCAGATCTTTGGCTCTAGACACAAACTTCTTGAATTCTAGAATCCTACATCCAATGCATTCACTCACATGCCATATTTGAATATTATGAACATACTATGATGTGTGAATGAATGCACTGGATACAGGACTCTAAGCACCTATAAATGCTGGTGACACACTGACGAACAGAACAGATGTAACCCAGCTTGACCAAAACAAAACAACCATCTCTCTGTGACCCAGCCCACCGGGCAGCTTCCCTGCTAGTGGGCTTTCGACCCAAGCAAACACATGGGAATCAACCTTAACACTGTCTTCTCAGTCTGTTTTTTTCAAACTCCAAATGCACACATGCATACATACATACATACATACCCACAGGTCCACACAAACACATACACATACCTACCTGTCCACGTCTGCAGAGGAGGAAAGAGAAACATAAATCTATTGGCCTTGTTTAACTCAGCTCCTCCCTGGTTACAGCTCACACTAACCTCTTCCTGCTACATGCGGACAGAAACCTCCTGGTTTCACATGCTTTATTAATAACTTCCACCCACGACTTTCATTTTATAATCCGCTTTTTCTTGGGCTACAAGGTCCACATGCTAACTGTGATTCTCAACTACCTAGATGGTCCACTCTACGCTTTTAACCACTGCTGAGAGTCAGGAGCACTACGAAATAAAGGGCAAGTGCATGGCACAAAGTCTATAAATAAAGTTCTATAGACCTGTGTCTGCTGGTAATTTCCCTGGCTTTGCCTATCCAACAGCATGACAGGCTAAATTCTACACAGATCCAAAAAGAAAAACATTGATGTATCTTCCATCAAGTAACAGCCTTCTGCTGTTTCAGTATTTATAAAACTTTTTTCCCTAAATCTAGTTAGCCGGTATATTTCTCAGTAACGCTAATCCTTACCCTCTACTGCCGTACACACAGAGGGTAAAAAATGCTCCCAGACCTCTGTCTTTCACACTCAAATTAGGTCTTGCCCTTTCTTTCTTCTCCTACACAAGGCTTTCTTCCATCACTGGCAAGTGCTATTTTCTTTGAAGGCCCATGAACATTCCCAGAATACTCAGCATTCTTATAACAAAGCTGGAAAACACACATTTATTAATCTGCTTCTGGCAACAAAGGAGGCAAAACCAAAGTTTACCTCATTTGCAGTATTTCTCTTCATTCAGTATGTATTGTGCTGGGTCACTTTTGCTCAACTACAGTTTTGTCAAGACATAAAACAGCCACTGTGTGAGATCAGCACTGACTGAAACAGCTAAGGGAGCAGGTTATGTAACCCTGACCCTCCCATCCCGGGAATGGAATCCTCCACAGGCACTGTTCCCTGGGGGGAAATTACAGTAAATGACTTCAGCCTGCTGGTATATTCCACACGGAAGAGACGTGGTTACCTGGTACTTGGGAAGCTGCTCCTTAGCATGTTGGGAAGATCCCCCAGAAGAACTGTGGAAGGAGATGCTGCTGCTGCCGCCGCTGCTGCCACTGATGCTGCTGCTTCCTTGACAGCACTTGGCTGACATTTTAACAGGCACATCCTCGGTCTTCTGGGTTAGGAGAGACAGGCAAGGCAAAGCACTGCTAAATATGTCAGGCCTCCTCAACACATTCCTCATCGGGAATTCCTTTGGTAAACTATTCTCTTATGTTGTACCTGAGATTTTTTTCTTCAACTGAGGACAAAAATGTGGTTCCCGTGAGTCTATAACATTTGGGAGGGGAAATGCTGGAGAAGGGGTCTGGACAGAGGTGGTGGGTTATATGTTAAGACTTTATTCTCCTTAAATAATGTAACTATTACTTCTGGTCAAGATGGATGCATACAAAAACATGCTTCGCCTCCTCATTCAACCACAAAAAGAATTACAAATAAACCTCAAAACAAGTAACACCCAGACTGTCGGAAAAGAGAACTGTATAGAAGGCTGACAACAAAGGACTTAAAGAAGCCACATTCCCACATCATCCAAAAGGGGAGGAGGGGCAGAGTCGCTGACACAAGTGGAGAGGGAGACAAGGAGGCGCAGAGAGGCGGCAGCAGAATCGGCATGGGCGGCCACACACTCACGTGTGGTAGACAGAATGCAGGGGGGGGTACCTTGGGAGCCGGTAATCCCAGCCCCAAGCCAGACCACAGAGCCTAGGGTTCCAGTGCTGGGAAGATAAACCCCTATAACTCTGGCTGTAAAAACCAGTAGGGGTTGAGGCAGCAGAAGAAAACGGCCAGATTTTCAGTAAATTCCACTTAAAGGGCCTGCATGGTCTTAAAAGGTACCAAACCCACTCACTCTGGATTTAAAACCAGGGTAACAGCTGGAAGGGTGCTAGTCACATCTGAGGAGTGGGTGAAGTGACTGGAAATGAGGCAAGTGCGGGGCAAATCTCCAGAAGCCAAGCAGCAGCACAGTCCCCTCTCTAATCCCTTCCCCCACACAGAACCACAAAGCAGTGAAGCATGTTGCCCCACCCTGGTGAGTAGCTAAGGATCTGCCCACACAATTTACAGGTGCCTTTTCAACAGGCCATGCTACTAAGACAGGAAGTCAGAGCAGCTCTACGTAATACATAGAAACAAACATAAGGAGGCTGCCAAATTGAGGAGACAAAGAAATAGGGCCCACATGAAAGAACAGAACAAAACCCTAGAAAGAATGAAATGAAATGGAGAAAGCCAACCTATCAGACGCAGAGTTCAGAACCCCGGCCATCAGGATGCTCAGAGAACACACTGAGTGCTGCAACAAAGTAAAAGAAGAAATGAAGGTTACACTAAGTGAAATGAAGAAAAATCTACAAGAAACCAACGGTGAAGAGAAGGAAGCTGGGATTCAAATAAACAATTTGAGCCCTGGCTGGTGTAGCTTGGTGGACTGAGCGCAGGCCTGAGAACCAAAGGGTCACCAGTTTGATTCCCAGTCAGGGGACATGCCTGGGTTATAGGCCAGATCCCCAGTATGGGGTGCATGAGAGGCAACCACACACTGATGTTTCTCTCCTTCTTTAAAAAAAAGAAGAAGAAAAGGTAGAAAACCAACAATCTGAAACATAAGGAAGAAATAAACTTTCAACCAGAACAAAAAGAAGAAACATGAATTTAAAAAGAGGAAGAGAGTTTAAGAAGAGTCTGGATGTCTCCAAAAGGGCAAACATCCAAATCAATAGGAATGCCACAAGGAGAAGAGGAAGAGCAAAAAGTTGGAAACTTATTTGAAAAAAATAATGAAGGAAAACTTCCCTAATTTAGCAAAGGAAATAGACATACAAGTTCAGGAAGCGCAGAGTGCCCTACAAGTTGGACCCAAAGAGGGCCACACCAAGATGCATCATAATTAAAATGCCAAAGGTTAAATATAAAGAAAGAATCTTAAAAGCAGCAAGAGAAAAGCAGAGAGTTACCTACAAAGGAATATCCATAAGACTTTTGGCTGACTTCTCAAAAGAAACTTTGCAGACAAGAAGGGACTGGCAAGAAGTATTCAAGTGATGAAAAACAATGACCTACAACCTGGATTACTCTATCCAGCAAAACTATCACTTAGAAGGGTAGGGCAGATAAAGTGCTTCCCAGACAAGATAAGGCTAAAGGAGTTTATCTCCTCCAAGTGTTATTACATGAAACGAAGGGACTTATTTAAGAAAAAGAAGATCAAAACTATCAACATTAAACTGGCAAAAAACTCACAACTATCAATAACTGAATCTAAAAAAAGCAATAAAGCAAACAACCAGAAAAGGGATAGAATCATACACATGGAGATCATTTGGGGGGTTATCAGCTGGGAGAGGAAGGGAGAGAATAGAGGAAAAAGTGCAGGGATTAAGAAGCATAAATGGTAGCTACAAAACAGACAGGGGGGTGTTAAGAATAGTATAAGAAATAGAGAAGCCAAAGAATTTATATGCACAACCCATGGACATGAACTAAGGGGGGACTGGGGAGAGAAAGGGGGTACTGGGCACAGTGGGGCAAAGGTGGAATAAATAAATGAATGAATAATGCAACTATTATTTATTTTCAAATTCATATTTTAAAATCACTAATAAGCTCCTATTTTTTTGTTTTTAGAGGATTTTGAGTATTAAAGATACTCATAATTTATAAAACTGGTGAGAAATGCATTGCTTTAAATCCAATTTTTTACCAAATGAAGCTAAGAAAGCCAAGAATATAAATTTGGAAAGACTGGGTTTGTGTTTTTAATGACACACCTCTTTCAGAACTCCCTGAGAAGTAATCGGAAAAAAATCATGAGGTTGAGTGTGTGAAAGATGAAGCCAAAACTCTGAAACAGGAGCTACTGCAAATTACACAGCATGTGATGGAGATCTGGCCTTTAAAGGTTAGGGGCAATAGAAGGTTATCAGCTATACATTCCCTAAACAAGAGTTCACTGCTAATTTTATGACATAAAGGTATAAAGACACACTTTTATTAAATTTTCCCTTCTTCCTATTCCAAAATATCACTCCCTACAAAGGCATCCTGTGCTCAATATAAGTTGTTGCTATTCCAAGTCTTATTTGCTTTTTTCCTGTGTGCAGCATTTGCTTGTAAACCCATGAATGCAACTGCAGCTCATCTAATCTCCAATGTGACAGTCACACTGGTGGTCTAATGCAAATGCCTGCGGTCATGTGCCCAACACAAACTCATGACGTTCTGTGCTTGCCAAGGGGGTGGAGGGTTGAAAATGGAAGAGAATGTAAGGAACACACGCACTGTCCCGGCCCACAGCAGTCACTCCAGCAGTGACAGCACTCAAAGTTGTACTTGGTTATTCCCGAGCATCTGGCACTCCCTCAACACCCTCTTCAGATCTAGCTGTTACTTAATACCACTTAAGCCACAAACACAGCCCCTCAGAGGACTTAAAGGGACACGAGGCCCACACCTGCCTCCGACTGCTAGACCCCCTGCTGGGGCACAACGTTCTGAGAGTCTATAATTGGCGACAGCACCTGGTACAGTGGGTCCGGCACCCGCTGAATCTTTCTGTAGCCACAGGCACATTACAAACCTCCCTGGACCTAATAGTGTTTTTGATTAAATGAGTGTTTCCAAGAAAGTTTATGTTCCAGACTCCAGAGTCACCACTGCTCTGATGTCCTGAAGATTCCAGCTGCTTTTTGAAAAAAAAAGCATGAATTTTCCCCCTCACCTGTTATGACCATCAGGAGCCCTCAACTAAACCATCTGCCCTGAGTCTTCAGGGAAAACAGGAAGTGATGTGGGAAATCAAGGGGGAGCCACATCCCACATACCAGACCCAGGGCCTAGTGCTGGCTCCCCTCGGCTTTGATACAAATCTAGCTCTAAAGCCTACAGGTGAATCACCTGAGAGACTTCAAGCCCTCCCCCGCCCCCCACCCAACCTACCTGACAAGCCCAACAACTCCTGTAATGATTAGCCACCTGGCAGACTTCCACTGTCGTGCACTACAGAACCCACCCAGCCGAACTACCTTTAACCAAACACTTCCTTCCTGCAGAAAGGATTCATATCAAAAGCAGGAAATCAGCCCCTTGGCCCTGATGAGATAAAAAAATGTAATATAAACTACTCATTTACTTAGCTACACAATCTATAAACTGCCAGAATTAGGCCTATATAGGTAGCAGGTCATTAAACATGAAAAGAATGAATACAAATTGATTTATTTCATTTGCAAACAGCTGAATAACTACTGAAATGAGAATGAAAGATCTAAAGGTGACAACTTACAAGTACCCTGGACTGACACCCAGAAGACTCAGGGAGGACCAGACTCTGAGCCTCACCTGGATGCATCACTTTACCTTCCCCATTCCGGCTCCAAGGGATCAGAGCTGCTCTGTCCTCGCTGTACCCACCCCCAGATTCCCCCATGCCCTGCCCCTCAACACCACTGCCACCACCTCCCTGACTGCCACTTAAAACAAGGACTAGACATGTCCTCAGGCAGACAGGTTTGAGATGCACTCCCTTTTGAATGAAGATGGCAATGCGTGTTAGCATACTGAAGCCCTATCCTGAGGACAGCCACCTAATTTTGTTGACCCACTGTGCTGTAACACCATCTATGAGAAATACTAGACAGAATGACCTATTAATTTCCCTTCAGGCTAACACTCTATGAATTTTAGGGTTCTCAGATTTCCCATTACACTGCACATATTTGGTACTGAAACCCTGCTAGACTGCAACTCGCCATCAAATTCGCCTCTAGTAATATTTACGGCATACTACTCAGCTTCTGTCACGATTACTTGCTAACAGTTTCACCTGTGTATTAATAAAAATACACATGCAGCTGGGGGGATTGGTTTAGGAACCTTTTCTTATGTTTCTTCTGAATTAGCAATGGCAGTGTATGATACAGCCCAAAGAGACAATTATGATTAATAAATGACTGATCAGACAGGTGGTTAAAAGCACAAGCAAAAAAGAAGAAAGCAAATCTGCACTGCATACCTGAGTTGACACCTCTTCAATCTTGTGAACAGCTTTAGAATCAAACAAGACTTGTCTGCCTCGCCTTTCACAGTCCTGGTAAACTATCAGGCGAATCTCGTTCAGATCAAACTCCGAACATGACCAACTGGGGATTAAAAAGGGAGAAAGAGGTTATCGTCTCTGCAATGCTTGGAATAATCATGAAGAGAAAAGTCGCCAACCAATGTGCCTGTGTGCACGTCAGAAGGCCACACGCGTGCAGAGACCGTCAGCCCTTCAGACCCCAGCACACAGCCTGACCGTGGACCCCAGTGGGCCATACGAACACGGCCACTGTCCATGACACAGGTGGGGAAGACTGCTTTAAGTAACGAACTACTAGTGATTCTCTTTCCAAAGCATTTTGGGCAAAGTTCATGGCCAGAAATCCTAAGGACATGGGGAGAAAACTACATTTGGACATCTGGGTTCTGGGAATGGCACACCTCTGGTTTGGGGGTGGTTCAAGCTTTTGTGTCACTGGGCTGGGAACCAGGTGGAGCAAGTCGGTAGGGCCTTCTCTCTTCCGCTCGCACCCACCCATGTTCACGTCAAATTGGGAAGAAGTACATACCCCAAAATTTAGTACTTTTCTCTATCATGGCTGGCTCTGATATGGAAGTTTTGAAAGCCAAGTGTATCACTCCATAGCATCTGAATTACTAAAACAATCAAAAGTAAAGGAAGCATGGCTTATTCCTAAGCAAACCAAAAGCCACTGGGATAAAACTGCTCTAAATATAGGCTTGTTCTTGAATAAAAAATGAAATTGGAATGTGAGAATTATAGAAAGGGTACATGCACAGCTTTGGGCATATTCAGTTATTAGTCTGTTAATCCATCCAACACATATTTGAGTGCCTCCTATGTTCCAGGCACTGAATCGATGCTAGAGATTCGGCAGTTAATTAACTAAACAGACCTGGTCCCTGCCGACATGGAGTAAGTGCATGGGTTAGTGGGGAACACGAGGCTAATAATCATATGTGTGTGTGTGTGTGTGTGTGTGTGTGTGTGTGTAGTATAACTACAGACTGCAGACGTAAAGGTTGTGACGAGTCTCATGTTTTCAGATTTAAGAGGCCGGGGAGAGGGGTAGGAAAGTCCCTAAATGACTTAAGGAAGTAACATTTACTGACTGATCCATAGATCTGAGAAGGGGGAGAGGGAGGCGGGGTGGGGAGGAACACTGATCTGTTGTTCCACTCAGTTACGCATTCACTGGATGATTCTTGTATGTGCCCTGACTCAGAATGGAACTGACACGGGATCCGACTCACACTGGTGAATGGATGCTCTAACCAACTGAGCTACCCAGCCAGGGGCTTAAGGAAGTGACATTTAAACACGAACTTGAAGAAGGGTTAAAGAGATACAGGGTGAGAATGAAGAACACAATGGGAAGAGCGAGGAGGTAGTGACGCATTTGAGAAAGAAAAGAAAAACAGCGAGAAGGAGAAACAGGGCCTGAGAGGTAGACTGGGAAGGCAGGCAGGAGCCAGGATCCTGCCCCAGGGGCAGTGAGAAGCCAAGGGAAACAAAAGTTGATAAATTCAGGTCTACATTTTTTAAAAATTCAATCTGACTGCTCTAAGGGAAGCAGGTGGGGCAGATTAAAACTGGGAGCAGGACGGCCAAATAGAGTTTACTATGCGTTCAGGCCCTTCACAGGGAAGGCTACGGTGTCAGCAATGGAGGTGCAGAAAAGGGGGCACACACCGGAGAGAGGTTAAGGGGCAGAACTGGTAAGATCTGGTGGTGGACTGGACCGGGCCTGAAGCAAAAAGGCGCTGACTGCCTGGAGACTGCGGGCAGAGGGTTAGTCGTCCTGAAGGGACAGAGGAGGGGCAGTTAGGGAGACAGCAGCGAAGCAAACTGTGAAGCTCGCAGACAGCGCAACGAGTGAAGTCAGATGAGTCTGGATTCCAATCCGAATTCTCGGAGCACCCAGTCCCTCACGGGCACAGTGGGAGTACTTCTGCCCACCTCACAGAGCTGCCGTAGGAAGCAAATGAGATGTGGAAAGTGCTTCACACACAGGCCGAGGCACCGAAAGTGCTCCAAAATTATCATAATTATTTACGAGAATTTGTAACATTGCTGTTTTTTAACACTGATTCAGTGTCTAGGACACAATCACAAACTGGGCATTATCGGTCCTATCCTTTTGACAGGCAATGGTAGTTAACACTGAACATGTTCTTTTAGGGTGGCCGACTTGTTTTCTTCGATCCCAGCACCAAAAAACAAAGTTCTGGCTGTACCTTCTTTTCACTCCCTAAGCTACCACGCTCTAAGCTGCCATACTGAGCACCCCTTCCTCCTAATTTTCATAACATGGCGGCAGAACTCGTTTTTCTGCTCCTCTCAGTCTAGAGGTAGACCACGGTCCAGTCTGGCGATCAGCTACAACCATATGCCCTTCAGCTGGGCTGTGCCAGCCAATCCCCACACTTGGTTGCTCTGCTGATTAACGGTAATCCTGGAGTTGCTGGTGCCTATTTTTTGCCAGTTTGAGGTAAGAGCCTTCCTGAAAATAGAGTCAAAGTGGAGGAAGGCAGGAGTGAGCAATGGGACCAGACAGATTCCTGTTGGCAGTCGAAGCCAGCTATTCCTGAGGAAATACCATTCCTGGAGTTAGTTTTCTGGCATGTAAAACTGGAAAGTCCTGATGACTGTACCCAAACCACTAAATGTTAAAATTGCACGAGATGACTAAAAACACAGTACACAGGTTAAAGTTCTTAAAAGTGAAAACTCAACATAAATTTAATTACCTTGAATTTTTTTATTCAATCTGTTTTGCTCCCATAATTACATTCTGCTAAAACAGCATTATAATTTACAAAGCAAGCTGTTCAATCCTTATTTTTGAGAATTTAACACCAACTCACCCATCAAACAGAGGGCAGCCTCTGCAAGAGGTTCATTTAATAATGATCACAATACCTCATTAAAATTTTAATATTATTTTTCAATTTTAAAAAGATGAAAATAAAAGATGTAGAAAAGGGGGGAAGTATATATATATATATATATATAGACTGTCCAATTTTTTTAATCCAAATACCTTACAAAATATTTTATAAACTACGAGGAAAACTCTATTCACCTTCTTCTGTAACAATACTGTCTTTGGTACCCAGTGTTTCAAGGCATCACGGCTAATAGGGCCGTGAACGGCAGTTGTGTGATTTGTTGCAGGGTGATCTGCTACATCCTCCAAGACCAGTTCTAGCACTGGTGTTTGACTCCTCCCCTGGGCTTTCACAGGAAGCAGGCTAGAAGCGGGCTCAAGTACGATCATGTTGAAGCATGATCTATGAAAGAAGACTACTTCGAAAATATTTACTTTCTTGCTCTTACAAAGAAACAACCTTATATAGTCAAAAATAAGTTCACATGATGAGTCTAAAGAGCAGTCTTGTGATCCAAGATTGAGAATGTTTAAAAAGTCCGGTATGACAGGGAAATATAAATAATCCAAGAAAGAGTAAACAGAACAGAACAAAACCAACCATGATCACAGCAAGAACTGGCAGATACCGTCCATTGAACACGTAGCCCAACACGCCTACCATGTGCCAAGCACTCCTCCAGGCACAGGATAGAGCAGTGAACAGCTGTAACTGGTGGTCCTATGAAACTTACTGCATTTGCAGCCACCCGCAACCTTTTCTCTGTTCTCTTTTCTGCCAACTCCCACTGCTCCTCTTCTTGAAAGGAAGGAAGGAAGGAAGGAACAAAAGATTCAAGAAAAGAAAGAGAAAGGACGGACCTAAATACAAACAGAAACCCTCTCAAAGGTTTGCTCACCAACAGCGAGGAGACCCAGATGGAGACCCTGACGACCCAGAAAGCAGAGGAAGATTAGGGCGGGGCGGAAGGGAAAGCTGTGCTGGCGGTGGCGGTCAGAGCTCACCCAGCCAGTGCAAATGTACACCATTTCCCATCAATTAACAAGCTATTTATTTTAACCAAAAATTATGTAAATAGATGGCAGTAACAAATTTGAAATTTTTTTTTTTTGGCGAGGGCGCAGGGCTAGGTTACTATACTCAGAGGATGGCTAAGAGGGAAAGGAATCTGCAAATTAGTGGACTTCCCTCTCTGCCCCTGCTTTGTACTGACACAGCCTTAGCCACACAAGTTGCCTGGTGTAGTTTCAGGGGAACTACAAAAAGACCCAGCACTAATTTGCTGTCCTGTGGTCAACAGTATAGCAAAAAGGCTCTTAAAGGGTCCAATTCTCATTAGAGACTCTAACCCATAATGCTAACCTACACATATAATTTCTAAATGACTGCAAAGTATAATAACATTAAAGCTAAAATGACTCCAGTTGTGTATATCCCGCCTATTGTATGAAAGAAATGTATATTGAATGTTGGCTGTAACTTTTCTGCCTTCAGGAAAGTAGGAGATATGTAAATCCTTTATCCCCTTTGTAAAAGAAACATGTGGGATGAAAGAACCAGCCCCTGTGACTGGCGGCATATCACCAAAGAACACTCACTGCCATGTGAGTCCAAAGGCACACTACTGCATTCATGCCTTCCACACGCTCCTAGCACCTGGCTCGACTCAGAGTCCATGACGGATACCAGGACTCGGAATCAACTAGATCCAGTTCCTGCCTCAAAATGCTTACAATCTGAAACAGGAAGGCCAACCCATAAATAAATAAGCCAACTATACTGTTACAGGTACAGAGATAGATGTCTATAGGGGTTATGGGAAATTTAAAGGATAAAAAGGTCAAGTCCGCACAGCGGGGGGAGGAGTGCGAGTCAGAGGAGGCGTCATGTTTGGGATATGGATTAGTGTTCACCAGGGTAAACAGGGCTGCTAACTCGAGCTCTGCCACTTTCCACTTAGTCCAGGGCTCAGAGTTCCTAAAATGTACCTGCTGTGTCTATCTCATAAGGCTGTCGGGAAAAACAAAGAATAAGTATGAAAGCACTTTTACAACTGTAAAGCATAACTCAGACATAAGTCCAGATATACAATCCTTTAACTGAGATCCTTGGGGCCACATGTTCTGGAATTCTATAGATTACAGAAAGTAGCTTATACCACATATTATGTAATGCTTCCTATAGGGAC